GGTATTTTCGGAAACATACAAATTGTTTTGTCTAGTTTTAACAATTCCTGCAACAAGTGTCTGGGTAGAAAGAATATTTTCGAATCTTAAGCGCATTAAGACTTACTTAAGAAATACGATGACACATGAGCGCTTGAACAACTTTTAGTGATAGCGATAGAAAAGTCTTATTGCTGATCCCCAATTTTATGGAGATTATAAGTAAATTTGCAAATTTAAAAGACCGACGAATAGACCTGTTTTAGAAAAGTAATGTAATTTTGGAAATTGATGTTTACAGTTTTCTTTCTTTTAAATTATTTTTTAACTTATTTTTATGTGTAAAGTTTGATTGTCAAATTTTGTTAGTGAAAATTACATTAGCACACAGTAAGATTTTCTAGGCTCTTGTTTTAAAAATACGTACGCTTCTAACATAGTTATTAAGTTATTTACTTATCAAATAGGGCACCAATTTTGACAATAATAATTGAATATTGAATATTTTGTTTGCATGGCTACCATGATTATTTACCTATCTTATACTAAAATCTTATTGACACATATTTTTTGTACTACATATTAATTTAGCGTAGGTGTCAAAAATTTTATCCACTTTTCAAATTGTTTGATACACAGTTACGAAGTCATTCTTATATTCTTACATTCGCGAATGTTTTTTTACGCTCCATTATTGAATACAAAAACGATAGTAGATCCTAGAAGTAACAATAACTATTTTGAGACAAAATAAAAAATGTTGTAATACAAATAACTGTTCCATAATTCCATTGTAGTATTTTAAGAAAGGAACATTATACTTCTAGCGAATTTTTCTTTCTAAGTTCAGCCTTCGGAGACGTGGGGTTGCTTATATCACCCTCTATTCTCCTCAAGCAGCAAATCTTGCCCCTGAAAGCACGCAACCACCTATACCCAGCGACTGCTGCACGAGATTATCCGGAAATTATGCTCGTAAACTTTTTTATTTCGAATGACAGACTGTCGTGTCCGCGCCGTTTCTGTCGGGGAAAAGAATTCTTTTATGTTCTCTGTTATGTATGTATGTTTTGTTGTATTTCCCCTTTTTAATAAGATTTGTACGTGTGCTAGCTTATGACATTTTTTCGTTCCCGCGTAATGAATAGGTACGTTCACTCTAGGGACGATGAATATTAAAAACTGTCACAGTTTTTCTTTGTAGAAAAAGGCATGAGAAACGTGCATAGCGTGGCTGAAGGCCCTGAAAGGCGAAATGGAAAATCAGCATTACTTTTCCCCCAGGACGGGTCTGAGATGGAGAGTATTGTTTCTTTTCAGGAATGCTTTATGGAGCAGACAAAACGTATGAAATAATATAAATTATGTTACAAAAAAATTAATTTAACATGACACGCAAACCCTGATCGAAATTTTAATAAATCTATCATTTATTAAACACAACAGAAAAATAAATACAGTATGTATATATTTTTTGAGGTAAAATGCTCAAGGTAGACATATAGAGGATATCCCGAAATCGACAACTCCTTATAGTGAGTCGTTTTTGAGAGAAATTTTTAAACCTATCCAAAATAAAACAATAAAATTATAAACTGAATATCATTATTCTATTGTGAAACTATTGGTCAAAATATAATTTCCAAATATTAGTTCGCATCATTCCAAACTGAAGGGAATGAAGAATTTGGCTAAATTTTGCTTTAAAAGTTTTACATGTATATACTTTTAAGATACAAGTGTAAAAAGCCATTCTTTATAAAAGCTGCCAAAGTGTCTTACCTTTTAATCTTCCATCGTGCAAATTGTTATAAGAAATGGTCATGGAAATGACATTACCATTAAAAATTTTAAACAGTCAAATACTAAGAAAATAATATTGTAAATACACTGATGTAATTTGTGTCATTTGGCTGCTCCTATAAGTTGCAATTCAAATAAAATTTTACTCAGAAAGCCAGCTATAAGGAAGCAATATCAGTACCATTTCCCCTGCTTATACAGGGTGTTTTTGAATGGAGTAGCATAAATGATACCAGTGAATCTACATTTTAAAAGAACACGATCTGCAAAAAATCGCCTTAATAAAATGTTCACCCCTGAAGAGATATGGGCCATCAAAGTTTCCAAAAAAATTATGAAAATTGGCTGAAATTTGAAAACCGAACGAGGTACAAATAACAAATTTTTTACAGGTTGTTTACTAACACAGATGCGAGTATTCAACTATTTTTCGAAAATTTTAACCCCTCGAAAGGGGTTGAAAAAACCACCCCTCAAGCCATTTTTTGCCATAACTTTTATATTTCGTAAAAACTCGATATCCAAAAATACGCATTAGATAAACTGGTTCTTTTAGAAACTTTTACATCTAGCAATTTTCCTTTAAAACTTTTCGTTTATTAATAAAAAATAAAATGTATCACCATTCACCTCACACCGTATATGATTGCAATCAATCAAAGAAAAACTAAGTGTGCTGCTGTCATGCCAGTTGTCACAATTAACTCTTCTGTAAGTTGTCACTGTTATCAACTAAATACTTTTTTTTACTTAAACAAAAATTATGCCAAATTTTACTAATGATGAATATGTGGACATGCTACAAGTGTATTTTGAATGTCGCAAAAACTGTGCTGCGGCAACAAGAGCGTATAATGAGAGATATCCAAATCGTCAAGTTCCCCACAGACAAACTTTTTCGGCGGTAGAACGAAGACTTCGGAAAACTGGAAAAATACAGCCGCATATTGAGAGCACCGGCCGAAGACCTACTGTTCGTACTATTTATCTTGGGGATGCAGTACTTGAAGATTTGACGAAAATCGTCAGACTAGTACGAGGAAAACAGCAATGCACTCAAATGTGTCCCACAGTGTTGTTTCGAATATTGTCCATGATAATCCTTTTCACCACCGGCCAGTTCAAGCTCTACTTGAACCAGACATGCATAAGCGAGTTGTTTTTTGCTAATCGTATCTTAATATTCTAAGAAATAATTTGAATTTTGCCTCAAAGATACTTTTCACAGATGATGCAACTTTTCAAAGACATGGTTTAACCAATATGCACAATCTTCATTCCTGGGCTCATGAAAATCCTCACGAAGTATCTATGACAACATTTCAACATAATTTTAGTTTAAACATTTGGGCAGGAATTGTAGAAAATGTGCTTGTCGGCCCTTTTGTTTTACCTCATCGACTTGGTGCTGTTGAATATTTGCAGTTCTTAAATGAGCATCTACCACCACTTCTGGAGGAAGTACCATTAAATGTACGTCAGGCCATGTGGTACATGCATGACGGGGCTCCTGCTCACAGCACTGTAGTAGTTAGGCGGTGGCTTAATTTAAATTACCCGAATCGTTGGATAGGTCGCGGCAATGAGGCACCTATCTCTTGGCCTGCACGTTCTCCCGATCTAACGCCCATGGATTTTTTCTTTTGGGGACATATAAAAAGTATTGTTTATGCGACCCCAGTTGACAGTGTTGAAGAGCTACAGGAAAGAATATTCGCGGCGGCTGATGAGATTCGCAACAATCCCATAATTTTTGCTCGAGTCCGTAACAACTTTGATAAACGTGTTAGGTTGTGTTTAGAAAGAAATGGCAATTATTTTGAAAATGTCCTTTAACTAAGTTTTTTGTTTTTTCTCTTTTTGATAATAAATTATTTCTTAGTTTCGTTTTCATTGTACTTCTATTTAATAAAAGTTTCTGCGACATTCAAACAGTTATTTGTGCAACTACTGTAAAGAGTGTGTATTTGTTGTACGATGCATGAAGTTTGCAGCTCGAGACGAAGTTGAGAGCTGCAATCATGTTAAGTGCAACAAATATGCTTTTTGCACATGTTGCACGCAACATTTTTTCTACGATTGTTTTTATTTCAAATTTTATTTAACAGTATTTTACATAATATTAAAATTTTAACTGACAACTGGAAATTAATTGCGCAAATTGTCAATGTCAGACGTTAGGTACTTATGGATATGCTTAGATTAAACTTGTAATCAATATTTTTTTTGTACTACTGTAAAAAAAGTTAAACTTTTGGCACAGTAGGTAGTGCAATAAGTAGTAAATTTTGCACGATCGTAGAAAAAAACACTTGTAGCATGTCCACATATTCATCATTAGTAAAATTTGGCATAATTCTTGTTAATTTACACCCAAAAAGTATTTAGCTGATAACAGTGACAACTTACAGAAGAGTTAATTGTGACAACTGGCATGACAGCAGCACACTTAGTTTTTCTTTGATTGATTGCAATCATATACGGTGTGAGGTGAATGGTAATACATTTTATTTTTTTATTAATAAACGAAAAGTTTTAAAGGAAAATTGCTAGAGAGGTAAAAGTTTCTAAAAGAACCAGTTTATCTAATGCGTATTTTTGGATATCGAGTTTTTACGAAATATAAAAGTTATGGCAAAAAATGGCTTGAGGGGTGGTTATTTCAACCCCTTTCGGGGGGTTAAAATTTTCGAAAAATAGTTGAAAACTCGCATCTTATTAGTAGACAACCTGTAAAAAATTTGTTATTTGTACCTCGTTCGGTTTTCAAATTACAGCCAATTTTTATAATTTTTTTTGAAACTTTGATGGCCCATATCTCTCCAGGGGTGAACATTTTACTAAGGCGATTTTTTGCAGATCGTATTCTTTTGAAATGTAGATTCACTGGTATCATTTATGCTACTCCATTAAAAAACACCTTGTATACTGTCACTTTTGCATTCCAGAATGTTTTCCCTCCACTCTTGAATATAAAGGCCATACTTCACAAGCTAGAACCAAAAGTAACTATTAGAAGCTCTCATTTAAAGGAGTGTATACCATTTATCCGTCTATGTTTATGGAAACTTTTTCTCCTATTTTGTTACAAGGGGAGAATCCGACTGTAAAATATTAAAAGCTAAATTCGGAACTTCCTGTGCGAAACGGCAACTTATAGAGCCCAATAAATAGACCAAACAATTTATTAAAGAAATAATTTATTATTGAGAAGATTACAAACATCCTTGCTTTAGAAAATTGTACTTATTGCTGCTAATATTCCAGTTACCATCCATGGTATAACCCTCCATAGCCTCCATATCCGTGGTAGCTGTGAGAAAAGTACGGATAGTACCCATATCCATGCCCCGAGCCATAATAACCATGCCCGCCATAACCTTTATAGTAGAGAGGACTGTAGTAGTATGAGCTGTAATATGACGGGTAATGGCCGTAGCCATGTCCGTAGCCGTGACCGTAGCCGTGGCCGTAGCCCAGTCCGCCGTAGCCCAATCCGTATATGCCACGTTTAGTTGTCTTTTTCGCTTCGGGGGCAATCGCGTTTTCTTCTTCCTCCTCTGCGAAAGCCAGAACGACGATGGAGATCAACACTATCTGTGGAAATTTCCATCGGTTAATAGTTTTTCTAGTATTACCAAAATAAAGAAATAATGTTTTTTTAAAACGATGTTTATAAAAAGGAATAACAAGTTGGCTACGCCACTGGTAAAATATTTCGATATTGAAGCCAAGATAAAATGTTTAAAGCCATTAGTTTTCGAGGTACAGGTTGTTGAAGTTTAAAAAATATGTCGTATTTATTTAAATATATCCGAAGATGTTAAACAAAATTATTGAATTGATAAATCTTCCAACCGACGCGACGGAGACACTAAATTCCTAAATTTCGACGTCACTAACTGTTTTTGAAATTAGATATCGGCATTTAAGATAAAATGTATCTTCTATTTTACTCGAAAAAAAGCTATTTTCTTAATTTTGAAGTAAGTCAAATAAACCTCACTCATAACCCATTTAAAAAAAATATATGTAGAAATTTTCTGTTTGAAATATAATTTTAAATACATAATGTAACCGTAAAATGTTAAATAAAATCATTGCATATTTTTTTTAGTTTCTAAGCAATAATTCCTTTAAAACAGAAAATAAGAGAGCTGATAGTGGACAAATAAAAATAATATAATTAAATATTGTCTGTAAAATAATCAATTAATAACATATTTAGTTGTTTTCCATAATAAAATAATGCTTTGTTTTTTTTCACAGCCTAAAAATATTTAAAATGAAATCCAAAAAGATTAAAACATTTCCTATCATTCTATTTGAAAAACATTTAAATTCTAAATAAAAATTACTTTATTTATTCAAATGTAAAAAAATACTACTACTATTTTTATTTAAAGATAAAATATATTTTTTTAATTAGTTGTCATTCTTCATTATGAGAAAAGTAATTCAACTTTATCTTTTTTATTATATTACAGACACTAACATATATTTTTTAAAGTTCTGTTATTTTACTAATAAAATTTGAGTTTTGATATTATTCTCATATGGGCCATACTAATATATACACTTAAATTCGATTAAATAAAATTATTTCAATAATCTATTTTTATCACATGTATACGAAGAAAATCCACAGAAGTCACTTTACACACCACCACTCACCATGTATTTGAAAAACCTCATGGTGGTACGACTAACTAAGTACTAATTTTTAACTTAACTATATCGTTATGACTGACAGTTCCAGTCGTTCCTGCGGTATATATAGATGGACGGTTATATGCAAAAACAAAAGATGCAGATCCCCAACCACCCTGTCAAGGTTTGAGGAAATTACAAAATCAGCTTAGCCACGGTTATAGTTCGAGAGCAACTGTCCGAGTAAGCCGTAATAGTGAGCCAGAGTGATGAAGACCATAATTTTCTGTAATGTAAGTAATTATATTTTTTGTAATTTGAAGTTATAGTTTTCTCAGGTATGTTAAAATCAGTCAAATATCCTGGCACAAGAGCTAAGAGCTAGAGAATAAAGAAAAGGACCTTTGAGAAATTTATCGCTTTTAAAAAAACGGAATATACTTACAAAATATACCAGTTTACAGTTAACCTAGGAAAATAGAGTTTTACTATGTGAAGTTTTTGCACTGAACAATATATACAATTTTTTTATTTACGCGTAGAAATAATTCTGTTATCCACCAAAAATTGATAAAGAAAAGTTGGTTCTTTTGTCATAGAGTCATTTCTATAACTGGAATTGTATCCAAAATATTTAGATTAACATAAAATAATAATCATAAGCACTAAAGTGTAGAAAATAAAAAATGAAATAATTTTCTTATTTTATAACCCTTGTGTCAAAAGGACCAATCAAGGATTGGTTTTGTGAAGCTATTTTCTCCTAACCAAAAAATTATAAATAAATAAATAAATAAATAAATAAATAAAAAATAACATAGAGACTACTTATAGTATAATTATTTTTGTATTATCTTGTGTAACTTCCGGATAATTATAATTTGAAAAAAACCTGTTTTTTCAATAAAATCCAGGTTATAAAGAGCTTTAACTAATATATTTGCGACCATAAATAATATATTATTATGTATTTAACTCTGAAAATCTTCCTTTAAGTAAAGTTGCAAAATATTTTTTTACTGAATTCGGCTTTTGCATTTATCTTGGATGAAAAAAAAAAAGGAATTTTTTCCGAATTATTAAAATTCTAATCCAGTATTGTCGGAAAAATTAAGGAGGATAGGTAACATTAGCACAGGTTGCCAGATGACATGAATAATATAATAAATGCAATTGTCACCCCATTGCGCCCGGACTATAAAATTAAGGTTAAATCGAAGGAAGTTTTACTTATTTCCATTGTTCCTCACCGTTGTACTGACATGTACTTCGCGTGCGGTAGCTAAAATAATTATAGAGTTCTTGAGCTATTTCTTAATTTCATTTTTTTATTTTCGAATATACCTAGTCATTGACAGTATTCACGATTAATAGGCATTTTGCAATTTACTAATTGCCTACTAATTTACATGTGGACAACAACTATAAAAGTTACATGGTTTCTAAAGACGTAATTGGTTTAAAATTGAATTGTCAGAGGAGTAATTTTCCTGCAAGTCATTTATATCCGCTGAAATTGATATTTGTGTACAACATTGACTTTCTTTGGCAAACGATACACAATTTTAACAGACATAGTCACAGTTTTGATAAGTTTGGAAAAGTTAAAGTCAGAGTTTCAAGAAATCTTCATTACGCTATTAATACAATACAGTTTAACTACGAAGTTGCGAAATCACAGTCAAATGGGGACCATCATGCTAATTACTTAATAAATACATTGTGGTGATGTCCCATTTTAGGAATTCCGAATAGTATTTCGAAGTAATTATACTACTCGTAAATTCTAGTCCAAAATGACCAACTACTTCATATTTCTTTTATTCTGATCAGAAATATCCATTCTTCAATTCACGATACATTGCCACAACATCGTTAATTGTTTTCAGCATCCGTTGTACGACCCTGACATTAATTTTTTCCCTAATAATGAAAATTATAATTAAGACGTTCCTCACATTGTGTTTTCCCAACTTTTTTTATCGCAATAAAGGGTATTGTTATGGGCTACGAATGAGTAATCACCATAATATGCACAGCCTTCTATTATTAACCGTGTCAGAATTAATGAAAAGTCTAGGTTCGTTTTAGGACAATTGTCTTAAGAAACGTCGTGCTGTAATGATAATTGACAGGTTGCTTATACTTATTCGTTTGTAATTAATTTTTTGTCGACATTTTTTATGGTTGCATAGGTATGAAATTGCTTTGAAGACATCTAAATTGAAATTTATAATCTACAGACAGGATATCAGAAGTTAACAAAAAATGAATATGGACAAATTCAAATTATAATAAGTTACAATATTTATTTTTTTAAGCACTTATTTGCCTTTTTTTGGGATCCTCGAAGTTGAGATACGAGTAGAACAAATTTTAAATATTAATTTAAGAGGGCCACATTTGTACAGAAGATTTTTTTTGCCTAATACTGCAAGGAAAAGTGTCCAAAATCTAAATAAAATCAATCGTGAATTTTGAAAATTGAAATAAACCCTTCAAGGGTATTAAAGAATAATTTTTGTTAACACAGTAAAAAATACAAGAACTAATAATAAAACATATGTATTTTTAAAGTTTCTATTTAGTACGTATATTATATTGTAATGACACTAATTTCAGATAAACCTTTACACAGTATACGGATTTAATTTTGTAAGAAAAAATCAACTTTCAACTTTAAATACACTGTGAAATCCATCTATCTCCATCTATAGCTGATTGCAATATACACAATGATATCTAAAATATTAAAGACCACGTGATCAAAATTTACCTATACAGGGTGATTCAGTCATAGTGTCATTAATTTTAAGGGAAAATAGTGAAAAATGAGTGAAATACGCGATTAAAACCTGCATATTTTATATGTATATTGATTGTATACCCTGTATATTTTACCGCAAGAATATATCGTCAGTAGTAATGATATGTACCATATAGACGACTTTTACAACTTATCGACTTTTCAAACTTTTCCCATCGGCATTAATATTTATAGCTAAGTGATCACACACATTAGTTGCTAAAATCTACCACAGTAGAGTGTATTCTAGAAAATATGAAGCAAAACTACGACTTTTACGGTTATTTCACATCCAATATTATGATATACAAAATAGTAGGATTTTGGAGACCTGACGAAGATATGAAATTCAAGAAATTATATAACTGTTACACCGCCTTCTGTACCTTAGCTTGGATGGCATTTTTATTATCCGAAATAATCTACATTACTAACAACAGAAAAAATGTTCAGGAAATTACAGCTGCTTTATATGTGACAGGAACATTCACCATTGACTTTATACAAATGATTTTCACTTACAAGAACATGAATCACTTGAAAATATTAATGAAAGAAATGAACAGGACCCTGTTCCAAGTAAAATGCAGAGAACATTATCGTATTGCTGAAAATACCAAAAGGACATATAATGTATTATTTAAATCATGTCTCTATCTGGCACTTCTGACTGCTGTTTTCGTTATGATTGTGCCATTAGTCGGGAAAGAAAGAGCAACTTCTATAAAAGGATGGTTTCCTTACGACTGGACTAAACCTCTGTATTTCGCTTTAACTTATATTTTTCAAAATTTGGTTTTTATCTGGAATGCGTTAATATGCTCAAATTTTGCTACGTTTACCTCAGCTTTGCTGATGCAAGTTGGCCTGCAGTGTGACCTGCTTTGCTGTACATTAGATTCTTTGGATGATTTCTATACTGAAGACGACGTTCTGTATGAAATTAGTCTGGAAAATAAGAAAAAATTGAGGAAAGATGAAGAAAGATTCTCCGAAGCCATGACAAAAAATTTAGTGGTATGCATAGAGCATCATAGGCAAATCATGAGGTATGTTTCTGTGTAGAATTTTATGTTTATTATTTTTTTCTATAAAGTTATGATAGTAAAATACATTTATTGAGCTCTATCATAGAAAAAAATTTAATATTCAGAAAAAAAAACACTTACTACATATAATTAAAAATAAAACTGCAATAATTTAGGGATTTTAGTTTTAATCACCGTTTTGCAGATAATTTATGAAAACATATAATTAATTCGAATTAGCCAAGTACTCATAAAATAGCATAGGAGCTAATAACAAAACTGTGCAATTTTAGAAAAACTTTTGTCGGCTCCAAATTATAGATTAAATTTTGCTGGGAAAAACAGCTGCCTACTTCAAGTTAATAATTTAAAGAAATTGATATTCTATATCTACATTTGACTTCTCAAAGGCAATTACAAAGGCATTACCTAGTTTTCCACAAGCATTATTTATTTTATGTTTAAATTATGTGAAACACTACCAATAATTTGAATTTTCATTAAATCAGCGCTGAATTAAAAATGATATGCATGCTTTTATTTGATCTTCATACGAAAAATTTTTAGGATTTACGATTTATTTAAATGCTTACAATTCTAATGACTAATTTTATATTTTTCTATACTTGATGGGTTTCATAGTAGTCCTACGACAAATATTTAGTAATAGTAAAACATTAGTTTTATTAAGTTGGAAGAAACCTATGATGACTGAAATGATATTTTCTTCCGCATGTTTGGCAATAAATCACTATTAATTCTAAAATTGTTCGTCGAATGAAATCATATACATGGTGTTTATGACTTGGGAATCTACTTTTAAAAGGAGGTAGACCCTGATAAAAGAAGCCGATAGAAGAATATTACTTTGTACACGGTGTACAATTTTGTAATTAAAATTATGTTGCCAAGCCGTCAGACGCGACAACATTTATGATTTCTTGACGAATAAGTCAACTTCTAATATAATGTATCATGTGAGAATACAATGTGTTATTCCCTCTCGACTTCAGCAGTTCTCAACATGTTCGCATTTGTTTGTCAAGTAAGATCTACGTTGTTAAACTTTTTTTAGTTGTCTTTAGAAAATTATTTCCAAAGGTTTGTAAAACCCGGTATATTATTTAATAGCGAACACCGAATATGCTAAAAGCACATTAGATACAACTTTCCCAACATTTTTATTATTATAATAGTACTGGCACAAAGAATTACTTTGTACCTACTGCCAGAGAGTAACCTACTAATCTGTACTATGAAGGCGTGACTAGGCAAAATAACCTTTATAACTAATGTACCCATAGAAATACGTGCTTACAAGGTGTGTTATACCATTTAGTGGACTGTTTTCAGCATCTAGAAAAATCAAGGGATATAAAATACTTTAAATGAAATTACAAAGTGCCACTTCTATGTTTTTTGTTTTGTTTTAAAAAACGCATGACTGAAGAATAATGTAGGCGTTTCGTAAGAAACTGTTTTTTAATTAGGCGTTACAATTTAAATACAAATCATTACATTTAATAAATTGTTCCAGAGTTACCAAAAATATAGAACAAATATGTGGAACTTCTATATTTATCCTTTTCATTGGAGGTACGCTGATTTTGTGTTCTTCGTTATTCCAACTATCTGTGGTGAGTAGATCTTGATATGTTTATGAAAATTCAACTAAAGAATCCTTTATTTTTTTTAATCTTAAAAACTCCAACTTATAATTAGACATTGACATTCAGAGATTTAAAGTGCAATGTTTTTTCGGGTTATTATACCGTGGCCTATATACCTGGCCATCACCAATTACACAATTACATTGCACATCCTTAGTCATAATCAGGAGTCTTTGACCCTTTGTTGTCCTCGGGCTGGGATCTATGGAGATAGACCCGTCCCGATTTTTATTTCAGTTCTTGTTAGTTCTAAAACCGCTATGGACGGAACCACTCCTCAGATGATGGTGGTTCTCTTGGATGCCCTGCAGTGGCTTCTGTATTTGGTCGTATCCAGTGTTTCTAAACGTTTTGCCGTTCTTCATTAACGGCATCATCACTGGCGAATTTGGAAATGCTTCGCCGTTACCTTAGTGGAGTAACATATACTGAAATGAATGTCAGAGAGGACCAAGGGCTTCTGATAACAGGTTCAACAAGGGTAGGGCAAAGATAAAGATTCCTACCTAAACCTAAGAAAGCGTAATGTAATTATGTAACTGGCGACGACCAGGTACCTAAGCCACGCGTAGCAATCTGAAATATTATCGTACCTTAAATATCAGCACTGACCGTGAAGACTTTAAAACCACTACACCATTGTATAAATTAATGTTTCTTTTATTAGGTTAAAGTTGGTAGCGTTGAGTCCGTCATGCTCCTATTGTATTTAATCTGTATGATTGTTGATCAACTCTGCTATAGCTGGTTTGGAAATGAAGTAATATGCAAGGTAAACGTTATTTATTACCATTAAATGTTTTTTCCATGATAAAAATTGACATTAACAATTTCAAAGTTGCAACAAATGAAAGATTAATGTAAGGGATAACTTTTGATGTAATTGTATTATTTTTTCTCTATTTATTAAGAAAAAAGTTCAATCGTATAACGAAAAAATATAACATTAATTGTAACTGAAGTGCGTTATATAGCGATGTGTATTTTTTATTTCTCATTTTTTTTAGTGCAAGACTTTTAGTTAGACAAAAATAACTCAAGGATTTATTTAATTTTTAAATTTAAAATAACTTTTAACAATACAATACATATTATATCGCGTGTAAAAAACCGAATTCTTAATAACTTTGTCCGTGATTTTTAGAGTTCGTTAATATTACAGTCGGCTTATAAAACACCCTGGGTGGATTGTAACATCAAATTCCGAAAAATATTGTTACAGTTCATGACTCAAACTTGTCAGCCGATCAGCATACTCACAGGAGGCCTGTTCACAATGTCTGTGCAGGTTTTCGTATCTGTAAGTTGAAAGATACTTAGCTAATTAGTAAAATATATTAAAAACTTTAGTTGTCCTGTATGTCAAGTTGTCCCAAGTAGAAGTTATAGCGGTTTAGTAACAACACCTCAGAATTAGCCAAATTAGTCCTGTAACATCCTGTATATTTATATAATCGTTTGCTTATTTGTTACAGATAATGCGAACAGCTTATTCGTATTTCACACTGCTCAAAAATATTCAATGAGGCCTTAGGAAGAACCAAAAATCACCAAGGAAATATAGTGCAGCTATTTTATTCACAATAACAATATTCATGTAGTTTAAACTGTATTTAACACATGTCAAAAATGTTAATTAGCAACGTTTCGAAGTCATCCGATTATTTTTTTTCTATAAACATTTCACAATACTGCTTTTATAGCAATCATACTGCTTTGAAACCATCATCAGTAGAACTGACTCAGACCGCTAAAGTAGGAATGAATTGACTTTATTGATTTTCGAACGCAAGTAGTGTGGATACTTTTGGTCAGTAACACAAAACCAACTTACCACAATTTCAGCCCATTTCACCGAGCCCATATAAATACCGTACGGGGCCCTTTAAATCCTCTGGTATCAAAGAAATCTAGTATATATAGTATCTTGCTAAAACAAAATTGAATAAAATTTGGAAACGTTCTTTTTCCATGCTGGTCGATTTTTACCATGAAAATTTAATAATGTTGTTATTTCTATACTCCACACATTGTTATTAATTATTAGTTATTACAGTTATCTGCGACTTTTTAACGGAACAACCCTGACATAATTTTAATAATCTATCCGTGATTATCATTGTTAGAATGATATCGTATATAGCTTTCAACGGGGATTTCAGCAGAAAGCAACTCAACAAGTAGGTACACTGAAATATCGCTTCCAAACAGACGCTTACAGCGAAATCAGCGGTTTTGTAGCTAATCAACTCCTCCACAAGCCTCTGGCGTGCATCACTGCAAAATATCGATCACGAAATCTGCATGCCCTATATTGGATATGTTGATATAATTAAAATTCCTCTGCGAAATTGTTCCGCGAAACTTACGAGCTACTGAACATAGCACGAGAAAACTTTGAGGAAATTCTGCAGATTTCTCAGAAATAAGTTTAAAGTAACAAAATAAGTCTAAGCGTGACAAAATATTGTCTGCAATTATTTATTTGTGGCGTTTTCAGTTACTCTTTGTATTTGAGTATTTCTTTCTTAAAATTTTTTCTTAAATAAATAACCTCTTGTTGATTTGAATATTTAGTTTTGTCTAACCAAAAAGATTTAACAATGACGAAGATTACTTGATTATAACTTATGATAAACTATATAGATCTTTGAATTCCTGAATATTTCAACATGGTTTTGTTGAAAAAACATCTACGGTGACAGCAGTTTATATTGACAAACGTAAAGCATTCAACTATAGATCTGAAATGAAAATCAGAAGTAATAACTTCTGTTGTTGCTAAATATATCAACAACTATCTATGACGACCGACGCTAACAACCAAATCTTCACCTGATGCTTTTTTTAAAATAAAAGATATCTTCGAGTTTGTTTTTGTTAAAAAACTGCTACTGTTAAACAATATGTCATCACACGTGATAGAGAAATACTATTATAAGTTCGTGACTCACTCAAACGCTCGTTCGTCAAATATGTACTAATTTATTTATGAGATACTTAATCATAAACTACTGTTGGCGAACTACTTAAATCGCTATTCACGTGATACCATGCTCCAAGCGAACCGATTTTAGTTCAAGACAATATCGTATCTCCTGGTCTTTATATCATATATACTGCTTTCCGAGCAAATCAAGCTATTGAAGACCACCCTGACAAGCGGTCCGTAGTCGGTCATAGGTATCTGTCAGTTCCCGTATACTAACCACACCTCTTCTTCAAATAGTCCACAAGACCAGTAACACGTGTTAGCTGATGGTAGCCACCGACATCGTTTGTAAGGAAGTCAGAATTGTAGAGTGGACTTTGGAGCAAAATATGCAGCAAAACTATGATTTTTCTAGTTATTTTAGACCCAGCATTATAATGTTGAAAATATTCGGATTTTGGAGGCCCGAGAGAAATATGAAATTCAAGGGAATATACAACTGCTACACGGCACTCTGTTCCTTAATTTGGATGGCATTTTTATTATCGCAAATAATCTACATTATTAATAATTGGAATGATGTCCAAGAAGTTACAGCTGCTTTATCCGTAACAGTGACATTCACCATTATCTTGATACAAATGATGTTCTTTTACAAGAACACGAATTACTTGAAAATACTAATAAAAGAAATGAATAGACCCCTATTTCAGGTGAAATGCCAAAAACATTATCATATTGCTAAAAATACCGAAAGGATGTATAAATTAATGTTTAAATCTTGTCTTTACTTGTCAGTACTAACTGATGTCTTAGTTACAGTTGTACCATTGATGGGGAAGGAAAAGAAATCTTCGATAAAAGGATGGTTCCCGTACGACTATACTAAGCCTTTGTACTTTATTTTAACCTATATATTCCAAAATTTAGTTTTTATATGGAACACATTCGTAAACTTGAGTATTTTTATGATAATTTTAGCTTTGTTGATTCAAGTTGGGCTGCAGTGTGATCTGCTTTGCTGTACGTTAGATTCTTTGGACGATTTCTGTACGAAAGATAATGTCCTGTATGAAATCGGTTTGGAGGATAAGTTAAAATTGAGGAAAGATAGAGAAAGATTTTCGGAAGAAATGACAAAAAATTTGGTGATATGCGTAGAGCTTCATAGGCAAGTCATAAGGTATGTTTTCTTTTTTTTAATTCAATTCCATATTTAAAGGTTTTCACTTTTTTTAAAGTACAAATTCAATTTTCAGGAAAAATTTGTATATACTTTTTTGTACATTGAAAAAATCCTCATCATTAGTTTCTATAAGTGCACATATGTATAATTCTGTTAAAAATATTACCAAATGGCTACTAAAATTTTCAAACTTCTGCCCTCTTCAAAAAACAGCTTTTAATGGCGGTGCAATATTTGTTATCTTCTAACTTCATGTTTATAATACGAGAGAGGACTTGCTAAATAATATAGCCACTACCCTCAACATTAGATTGAGGCTACTTATAATAAATAATCCCTAATCTACCTTTATTTTATAATAAAAATGAAAACAGTCGAATCTTCCACCTCAAAAAAAAAGACAGTAACTTAAGAAAATGTATTAGAGAAGAGGTAATGAGATTTTAAAGCAGCAAAAATTTAGCAAACCCGTTTAGATGTATGAATTGCTTTTACCAATCCAGTTCCAACGCTTCAAATGAATTGTTTCCTTTTAATTGTGTATTTTTTAATTGGTAGGTAGCTCTTATACTTTTTACTTTGCTTTAAAAAGATGTTAAGGTAATTCAATTTAATTGTAAAAGGTTTCCTAAAATTCTTATCAGATGAAGTTATGTATGCTTTTTGACACCAAGTATCATCTACGTGTTAAAAAATACAAACTAGTATTTACCTAATAATTGTCAATTAATTAATATTGCAAAAAAATATTTCATATCCTTGTTTCTAACAGCTTTTGGCAAAGAATCATGATCTTTTTTAAATGAAATTAATAGATATCTAATATTGAAATTTTGAAATCGTAATGTTAGAAGTTTGATAAAATCTGCGTAGATTAATATGAATTATTTTATTTTATCTTCTAATATTTTTACATAGTTCTAGTTTTCTTTACCCAAATATATTTTCTATGTTTAAATTTACTCATTAATATCAATTATTACAATAATATAAGTGATTTCATTTTTATTCAAATATTAAAACCAGTTCAGTTTAATTGATATTAAAAGCTCTCTTTGATATACATATAGGAAAAAGGTAAATTTCAAATAAACGTTTGAAATTTTGATGATCCTGATTTCACAGTTGTTTGTACTAGATAAAGTTTGTCGTTTATAAGTGCAGTTTTATGAAAAAAAGTATTACATGTGAAACGTTGCTGAAATCGGTTTAAAATAAATCTTTAACGATGGTGATATTGGAAAATAGTTTAATATGAGGACATTATATATAATTTGAATACGGACCGGCAACTACAATCACTAGGTGAAACTTTTTACATTTATTATTAATAATATGATGCAGGGAATTTAACTACCCAATACATTCTGCTGCAAGTATGAAATAAAGTTACCACTTTTTAAACTCCACAACCAACATTATAATATTAAAGCTAATAAGATTTTGTGACCCACATAAATACGTAAAATTTAAAAATATATATTTTCTTGCTCTATGTCGAAGGTATTAAGCTAACTCAAACAAAATTTTCTAAAAAATATTATCAAAAGAAGTCAAACGTTCTTTGATACCAGAAATCTATGCAAAAGATATATAACCCCACATACAAGACTCATAACCAACCGTTGATTTTGCAGGAAACAACTATTCTTTGGATTACATGCCAAAACTGGCATCGAATTACACGACCAACAACTAGTAAAGAGCTAGTAATAAATAATTNAATACGGACCGGCAACTACAATCACTAGGTGAAACTTTTTACATTTATTATTAATAATATGATGCAGGGAATTTAACTACCCAATACATTCTGCTGCAAGTATGAAATAAAGTTACCACTTTTTAAACTCCACAACCAACATTATAATATTAAAGCTAATAAGATTTTGTGACCCACATAAATACGTAAAATTTAAAAATATATATTTTCTTGCTCTATGTCGAAGGTATTAAGCTAACTCAAACAAAATTTTCTAAAAAATATTATCAAAAGAAGTCAAACGTTCTTTGATACCAGAAATCTATGTAAAAGATATATAACCCCACATACAAGACTCATAACCAACCGTTGATTTTGCAGGAAACAACTATTCTGTGGATTACATGCCAAAACTGGCATCGAATTACACGACCAACAACTAGTAAAGAGCTAGTAATAAATAATTATCCAAAATAAAAACTAAAAATGATGTCTAAATATAATTAACGTATCAAGGTACTAGATATACTGAAATTATTAAATAATATTTTTCATTCAAAGAAATATCTTGTATCTAATAATACAATCACCTCACCTTTGAAAAGATCTCCCAGTTAAAGCAACTACTACAAAGAGATCTTTTTGTTTCCACAGTTTGGATGGAATTAATGAACATTAATGGGACAAATTTACTTTTATAAAAAATTACATTTTGAAATGATATTCAATATTTGTTTGAATTAGCTTAATATCGTTAAGATAGAGTTAAAACAGTAGTAAAGCAAACAATAGAATATATATTTTTCAAAATATTTTTCAAAAAAAAAGTATCACTGCTATACAACTTCGCTTAGTTTGGGTAGCAGTTTGGTTTGCAGACTTGACAGTTGTCAATTTTCGTGTTGGTTGGTAGTATTTCTAATTGTAAGTCACATTAATGGCATTCATCCAGAAATGACCTTCATCATAGACACAGTAGTGGAATTTATAAAAGACTCGTAAGACAAAAATCAAGGACACAATTAACAGATTTCAAACCTTTCACCAGTACAATATACACAACGAATGTAAATACTTACCAGAGCAAAAGAAGAGAAGGATATGTCCCTCGAAATGTCAAGAAAAACTGAAAAATATTGCTGATGTTCATCGTCAACAAAAACACAGTGACCAAGGAGTAACTATATGATGAACAAGTTAAATAGGTTTTTATTTCAAGTAAAATGTCAATACTCTTCAAAATAAGTTTTTATCTGGACTGGAATGATTGCAAGTAGCTCTTGTTGCCTTTTCTAGCAATAAATATATAATTATGGCGAAATGATATAGGACTATAAAAAAAAACCTTCAAATTATGTTGTACTAACCTATATTTCCCAAACCTTTGTGTTTACTGATCCAGGTTGGTGTCCAATGCTGCATGCTTTGCTATGCTTTGAATTACTTGGATTACTGTACTAAAAATGAGGTGCTTACTTTGAAAAATATGTTGGAGTAAAAAATGCATTGAAAGGTGCTGAAACTATGTCAGAAATCGACAATTTATTACGTTAATTTGAGAAAAATGGATATGCTAAAAAATTGAATTAGGTCCATAAATTTTGCACTTTGTTCATGTTTTGTGTTGTCATAAACTCTTTTTAAGCTAGAAAAAAAGATCTTTTACTTAATATATTTATTGATTTAATTAATAGAAATTATTTCAGGGTTATCAAGGATGTAGAACGAATTAATGGAACCGGTATATTTATTCTTTTTGTTGGAGGAGGACTGATTTTGTGTTCTTCCTTATTCTCAGTATCTGTTGTGAGTAAAACATATTAGTCCAAACTAGTTTTAATTTAGTTTATACCTTCACAAACAAAATTTCATTATAGATTAAAATCTCAGTACCTTTCCACTTTCAAATTTTAAAATACATTTACGAACAAATTATAATATTTCTTTTAACTTTTAGGTTAAGATTGGAAGCTTAGAATTCATCATGCTACTATTTTATTTAATCTGCATGCTTATCGAACAATTCTTTTATTGTTGGTTCGGCAATGAAATAATATTCAAGGTAATTCTAGCTGGTACCACTTTTAGCTCTGAGCAGATCGCTTTCTTTAAAGTAATTTGAAGAAAATGTATTGCTTGATGATGAAAGATTCCGTGATGAAAATAAGACAATTTAGACCAACTTATACAAAAGTCAACATCTACTAAGATGTATATATAAATTTTAATTATACTTTTTCTAAAAAACAATACAGTGCATTAAAACTTAGAACAAGTAAATTTTGAAGGATGCTAAATATATAAATGTTATTAGGAATATGTGATCAAGTCTCTAGTTTTAAGTTATCGGCGTATTTTAAAAACATTCTAAAAGCAGCGAATCACGTTAATTTATCTATTAATTTTTCATTTTAGAGTTCTTTAATTCTACAATCGGCTTTCAATACACCTTGGGTAAGCTGTAACGTCAAGTTTCAGAAAATCCTGTTGGTATTCATGCTGAAAACTTCTAAACCGATCAGTATACTCACTGGAGGACTATTCACAATGTCTGTGCCGGTTTTCGTATCAGTAAGTGCCTTTAATTGAAAAAATAGTTAACACAAAACAAAACGAATTCCTTAATTTGTTACAAGGTAAAAATTAAGATGTGGAAAGAAAAAATATTTCATATGTGGTAAAACGTTACTGTGATGGTTGAATGATTTCAGGGCTGGTTGCCACGTCGTCGATTTACAACTCTTGACGTTTCGAGAAACATATCGTTCTCTTCTTCAGAAGTTAATCTGAACCGACGTGGCAACCAGAAATGTAACCGCGAATGAAAAGCCTATTCCTATTTCCAAAATGTTCAGTGGCGATGCATAATTTTTTTTATTCCAACACCCTGTATTTCGAAATTAAAGCGATCAGTGACACGCATTCATATGAAACTTTTTACTTAAATTAAATTGTTCTATTACCTGGTCAGACATTTTCTAAATTCAGACTATTCCGTTTAATACTGTCACTATGTTTTTACTTATCCATTTTTTACTTTTCGTAGATACTGCGAACGACTTACTCTTACTTTACCCTGCTCAAGAATATTCAGTAAAACCGTGTGATTGACTGGAAATGTATCTCATCAATGTAAATGTCAACAAAGAAAAACGTAATTTCATTTCGACTTATAGTAGCACGCTTTACTATCTGCAAATACTTCACATTATTTTACATTGTTTCAGTGAATTAACGAGTGCTAAAATAGACTGATATAATGCAATTTTAGTTGTAGTTTTATTGTATTACTTAAATAAATTAGAATCAGAGCATCTATGGCGTTGTTGATATTCTGTGTTTATTTTTTTTTCCTTTAATATAGCTAAGCAATAAAAAATACGAAAAGTCACAAAGTTGAAAGTGTTAAAATTATATTTAGTTTAAATTCAATCAAATACTCTAGTTTTAAGTGCACAAATGATTTATGTCAAATGTAGCACCCATATACAGGGGATTCTTTAAGCCGTAGCTTTTCTTTTAACACTGAGTACAGTAGAACTCAAAAAAGTAAGTTTTCATATAATTCTTTTTCGAAAATTAAATTTCCGTTGGAAATGTGTTCAATATAAATGCAGCAATTTTTCATAGCACAGATTTCTCGAAAATTATTTATTGCATAGTAAGTAAAACGTCACCAGCCGCAAGACGAAAATGGAACATTCTGAAATAAAGAATATTATCAGCACATAAGATTCGCAATTTTATCAGACATAATCTAACCATGAAATTTAAATATTGTATTTAAAAATGCATTTCATGATTATTATAATTAATGAACCTTAGAGCGGTACACTGTAAAAAAATCGGTGTGAGTGAAAGCAATAAAGGTTCGGAGTGAATTCGTTGAGTGAAATTATTGAGTAAATTTTCACTTAATATTGGGCATTTTGATAATTTTACTCATTTGTGATCATATTCAAACTAAATCTGAGTACTTTCACTCAAATATAGGTACTGCTTAAACAAATTCTTTAAGTAATCTCGTATTTGGTGCACTTGTACCTAAATCAGAGTAATTACTGTGTGATCCCACCCTTTTTCATATCCAGATGCATTGTCTTTGTCTATTCCCGTCGTCACATTAGGTTATCTCGTGACCGTAGCGTGGTGGATGGCGGTATAGCGTATGGTGTGCTTTGGAGTTCGACAAGTATCGATACATCTGATTATTCTAGTGAAAATTGTATTTAAATGCAGTGATTTAATTACAATAATTAAAGACAATATATTAAGTCTCGATTAATTTTTGGTTAAATAAACGGATAGTTCAATTGTTATTTATAATAGCGTATTTGTAACGTACAATATAGAATATGGCAATTTATTTATCCGATCAGTGAACCAATCGAGACTAAAACAAATCTGTGTTGAAACCGCCATGACTGTTTAGTGGTTTATGACAATGATATTTAAATTAAAATTTCAAGAAAATATAAAGTGATGCAAAACCATTCCAAACGTAAATAATATGGAATCATTTATTAAGTAAATTGTATACATTAGTCGACCTATTTTCAATAACATGGTTGTTACACAAAAATTATACAAATTTAAATTACAAAAAATATCGATTTTCATCTCTTAACTTCGATGGATAATATATAGTACTATCAAAGAAAAATGTAGATTTGAGACATTAATTTTACAATATCTCTCCTAATTCGAAAGTTCANGTTTTATTGTATTACTTAAATAAATTAGAATGAAATCATCTATGGCGTTGTTGATATTCTGTGTTTATTTTATTTTTTCCTTTAATATAGCTAAGCACTAAAAAATACGAAAAGTCACAAGCGATATTTACTTTAAATTCAATTAAACATCCCAGTCTTAAGTGTAAAAATGATTTATGTAGTACACAAATTTAACAAATTAGTTGCAAAAGTCCACTATTCATTGTATATCTTAACAGATTCCATTTCTTTTTAAACTAATTGCGCCAATCGAAAGAACGGGAAATTTTACATGAAAAATGTATATAAAGTTATTTTCTGAAATGAAAACTGTAGGTTGTAGAATTTTTTTAAATCGTACGAAAATGTAAAGCGTCGGGACTTGCGCGCAGGACTCGACTCCACTAATTTTACTAATTCCACAAAAATTTAAATGAAAGGGGAATCTTATAGCTAACAAGTTATCATGATTTTAAAATCGAAAAAAGATATTTACAGGAATAGTGTATAAATAAAGTTAGTAGCGGTAGAATTTTCTACAAAATTAATTAAAGATCTGATATTTTTTTCATTTTCAAGATAAAAATCTAATTGTAAAACATTCAGAGATTACTCTTGAAAAAGCATTTAAAACAGTGAGTAATATAAAAAAATTCTTAAAATTTTAAATCGAAAAATACAACGCTGGAAATATTCAATAATTTAAAAAAGGGCAAATTTGATTTTTTAGGTCACGTTGCAATGTCCAATAACTTTAGTTCAAAATATGATATTGCAACTTTACAGGAGCATTTTTTGAAGCCGTACTTTAAGATGGACCATTTTGTTTTATTTAAAACAGTGAATTTATAATAAAATTTAAAGAAAAACAAACAAATTTTGTTCTAAAACGATGAAATTTGTTATTAAATAAACGTTAATAAAGTAAAAAACATTTTTTTTGCTTGTTTAACCAATATATTTTCAAACTATGATCTTAAAAAAGTATAATCAACGAAAAAAAATGTTTTTTGTTACTGTAATATTGTATAAAATACTTACACTGATTCAAGAGAATGAAAATTGAATATTGTTATTTTTATATATTTCTATTTTTAATATGCAAATACTTTTCTCATATTTAATAAATTTTTTAATTAAGAATCCCATATATTGACTTTTTGCAGAACTCTGAACGTCATACCCAAATTCAATGATCTGAAAAATCCTAAAAATATAAATATTAGTAAAATTGCTTTAAAAAAATGTAACTTTTAAATAAATTGTTTATAAAAGTTGGTCATATTGGATCAGCCATTTTGAATTTTCATTTTCTGATATAATATTCTCGTTCAGCGACTTCGAAAACCCCTATAATATCAATTGGATTAAAATTGCTTTGAACATTGTAATTTTTTAATAAATTGTTTTAAAAAAGTCGGCCATATTGGATCAGCCATTTTGAATTTTTATTTGTCAACATTATATTCTTATTCAGGATTTGGTATTCAGTTGGTTTGAAATTTTTTGATTTATTTAAAATAATCTTTGAAAACCATTTTTTATTGTTTAAACAATTAAATAATAATTAGCGTACAAATATAAGTTTATAACTTTTTTCTATAAGCCATTTCAAGGCGATTGCAAAAGGTTTTATGAAAATTCAAGGCTCTGCTAATTATTCCGAAGTAATGCATATTTTTAAGCTACCTTTACTCCATCTACTATATTATCAGAATATAAGATTCACAATTATAGACATAACCCAACAATTTTGACATGCAATTTAAATATCGTTAATCGTATCGTATTTAAAGATACAATTCATGATTACGTTGATTAGACAACAATTACAAGTTATGTCATTTAGAGCGATACACTGTAAAAAAATTGGTGTGAGTGGAAGCAATAAATGTTCAGAGTGAATTCATTGAATGAAATTATTGAGCAAATTTTCATTTAATATTGGGCATTGTGATAATTTTACTCATTTGTGATCATATTTAAACTAAAACTGAGTACTTTCACTCAAATATAGATAGATACTTCTTAAATAAATTCTTCACGTAAACTCGTATTTGGTGCACTTGTACCTAAATCAGAGTAAATGTCCTCATTACTGAGTGATCCCACCCTTTTTCATATCCAGATGCATTGTCTTTGTCTGTTCCCATTATCCCATTTAGGTTATCTCGTGACCGTGGTGTGGTGGATGGCAGTATGGCGTATGGTGTGCTTGGGAGTTGGACAAGTATCGGTTTATGTGGTTATTCCAGTGAAAATTGTATTTAAAAGCAGTGATTTAATTACAATAATTAAAGACAATATATTAAGTCTCGATTAATATTTGGTTAAATAAACGGTTAGTTCAATTGTTATTTATAATAGCGTATTTGTAACGTACAATATAGATTAGGCAATTTATTTATCCGATCAGTAAACCAATCGAGACTCTAAAACAAATCTGTGTTGAAACCACCATGACTGTTTAGTGGTTTATAATAATGATATTTAAATTAAAATTTCAAGAAAATATAAAGTGGTGCAAAACCATTCCAAACGTTAATAATATGGAAGCATTTATTAAGTAAATTGTATATATTAGTAGACCTAATTTCAATAACATGGTTGTTACACAAAAATTATACAAATTTAAATTACAGAAAATATCGATTTTCATCTCTTAACTTCGATGGATAATATATAGTACTATCAAAGAAAAATGTAAATTTGAGACATTAATTTTACAATATCTCTCCTAATTCGAAAGTTCATCATTTGCAGAACACGCTGTATAGCATCTAACAAATTTGTATATCCTAATTAATCGTTTATGAGTGATTTATTTTTGCACTCAATATTTAGTTAATTAAAATTAAGTCTGAGTAAAAATGACTCAATAATTGTTAAAATTTAAATCATATTAGAGAAAAACTCTAAATTGGTTTATATACTCAGAATAGAGTCAAAAGTCACTCAATTGATACTTAGCAGTAATTCGGATTTGAGTAAAACTCATTCATTTCTGATGCAATAGTTTCACTCAGTCAGATGTGGACAGAAATTGATACATTATTGAGTAAAATTGAGTGAAATTTGAGTGAAATTTTTTTACAGTGTAAGTTGAAGAAGTGGCGCTCCGTTTTCACGTTTCCGTTCATAATAGTTTACTAATAACCCCACCATTTCTTCAGCCCCACCCGATAAAGGTTTCACATTTAATGCTTCCCACGAAAAGAACTATTTGTACGCCTTCAGTATTCCACACAAAAATCACAGGGAGCTGCTATCGAAAGTAATGACAACGTCAAATACCTGTCAACAGTCTTTCGATTAATTTTAATGATATCTTGTTAATCATTAGTTTTATAAGCTAAGCTAGTTTATCAAACCATTGGCATTGGTTTTATAAGCTACACTATCACCTAACGCAAATTGTGGTAAACTTAAAACAATAGAATTTCCTATGTTGACGAGAGTTAAGACGTACAGGGCAGGTATTTAGAAACTATTATATCGGCTGCACTTGACTACTAATTGTGACGTCATTGCAAACTTATCGTAAATAGGTTTTACCTTGCATAATTTTCGAAATATTTATAAATATTTAAAATGTCTGTGTGACTTTTTGGATCAGAATATTGAATGTTATAATAATAATGTAGGAAAATATAATTTATGCTTTCTTAACATTAATTGAGTGTAATTGATAGTCCATACGTTGCCTGTCATAGTCTATTAATATGAGTTTTCTTTAAATAATAAAAATGTGTACGAATGACATTCAATTCTCTGTATAGGACGGATTCTGTTATTTGTACACGTTGTCAATATTAAAAAAAAATTCTGTAACAGATCGTAACCGCTTCCTAACTAATGGTTGATTGAAAGCGTTGATACAATAATTAAGAGCCTTGAATTATTAGATGAATAACTGGTTGCGTATAACAGAACATTCTTCTTCTTTGTCTTTTAAATTTAAAATTTTCAATTAAGGAGGATCGGAGGGAAAATTCAGCCAATTTCGTATTAATGAAATATATTATGTTTGCAATGCGAAATAAAATTCTGTGAATTATTCTCGAACTATCTATCGATTTGTTTTTGTTTTTTATTAATGCCAAAAATTAGAATATTTAACATAGATTCTCATGGGAAATGCTATGATGCATTAAAATCGAATTATGAATGAAAAAATGCAAATAGTATTTTTAAATTTATTAAATAAACGTTTCGATACATAAATTAGTCATTAGAAATGGATTAATTTGCATTTTTGTAATTCAATTTGGAATGATATAATAAAATGGGAAACTTCCAAATGAAGTATGTTTTTTGAAATCTTCTTTTATTTATAAAGTACGATCAACTTTCAATTCAAGAAGTAAAGAATACAGCAGCATATGAATAATGAAATATTTATACTTTGCATCACAATCTTATGTATTTAGATAAACTATGATATTTTTAATATTATTTTTCATTTTAAAATTAACATGTGCCTAAAAATTCATAGTAAAACACACCTTACACTTCTTGTTTCAATATAAGTGTGTTTATGCCCTTTTTCGTCCTATTTTTGCCCTAAAATTGGCCGTCCACTCAAGTTTGGACATCAGATTCGTGTTCAGCACCCAAAAATACATGGAAAATCTATAAGGTTAAAATCGGGATAGAGTCGGTATTCTTCATGTTGTGGTGGTATTAAGATAACTGCATATTCAATATAGTCCTGCGATTACAAAAAATCTAAATGATGACATTTTTTACTCTTCAAATTTGGTTTGAGCACATCAAAATACCGGGGCTATATGAAACAGATTTAAAATACTTTATATACTAAAGATATTATTAACGATTAGGACATCCTTTACAATGTGAATGACATATGTTAAATTAAGCTTTCATCCAGGTAGTTATTAAAGACAATTCAATACAACCATTAATTAATCAATCAATACAGAAAACTAAAACTGTGTCAGTCTTATGCGTTCCAAGACAGCAAGATGAACATGACATCCAATGTAACCATTAACTAATCAATCATTACAGACAACTAAACTGCGTCAGTTTTATACGTTGCAAGACATGAAAAAGAACAAAACTTTCGACTATACTCAACTTATGGCCCATACCATCAAAATATATAAGTTTTTAGGATTTTGGAGACCTGATCCAGACATGAAACACAAGAATTTATATCACTGCTACACCGCCTTCTGGTTGAGTTTGTCACTCATTTTTATATCGTCACAAGTAATTTATATGTACAACAGCAGGAAGAGCTTGAAAGAAGTTTTAGCTGCTCTATACATAACATTAACATTTGCCTCGATTTTAGCAAGACAGTTAACTACCTACAAGAGCATGAATGAATTCAAAGAAATAATAAAGGAGTTGAACAGGCCTCTGTTTCAAGTTAAGTGCCAGAAGCACTATGAAATCGCCGACAAGACAACTCGGAACCAGAGATTATTGTATAACATTTGCCTATTCCTAGGCTTAAGTACTGATATCTTTGCAGCTATTTTTCCGCTGTTGGCAAACGAAAAAGTAATCCTAGCAAAAGCTTGGTTCCCATACGACTGGACCAAACCTTTCAACTATTTTATGACTTATATTTTCCAGAACGCCGTATTAATTTGGCATACCTTAGTGTGTTATTCTGGTGATATGTCTACATTTACCTTATTATTACACATTGGCATACAATGCGATATACTCTGCTACACTCTGAACCATTTGGATGATTTTTACTTTAAGGATGGGATGCTGCATGAAATCACTCCGAGAGATAAATTAGAGTTCAGAAAGGACATGGAGAAATTCTCTCAAGCTATGGCTAAGAATTTAGTTGTATGCGTACGACATCATACAGAGATTATAAAGTAAGAATTTCTTATTGTTTTTCACTTAAAATGTACTGTACTCTATTTATTTTAATGGTGTTGAGCTAATACAAATAAATTCAGAAAAATTCCTTGAAAATCATGTCAAATACAGGCAAGCAATGTTCTTCGAGACTTTAATACGACAGTATTATTTTATAAAATTTTATAAATCACTAAGCATTCTTGAAATATTAAAGATATTTTTTTATTTAAATACACATACGTCGAAAATCATGTGTTCTNCACCATTTCTTCAGCCCCACCCGATAAAGGTTTCACATTTAATGCTTCCCACGAAAAGAAATATTTGTACGCCTTCAATATTCCACACAAAAATCACAGGAAGCTGCTATCGAAAGTAATGACAACGTCAAATACCTGTCAACAGTCTTTCGATTAATTTTAATGATATCTTGTTAACCATTAGTTTTGTAAGGTAAGCTAGTTTATCAAACCATTGGCATTGGTTTTATAAGCTACACTATCACCTAACGCAAATTGTGGTAAACTTAAAACAATAAAATTTCCTAGGTTGACGAGAGTTAACACGGTACAGGGCAGGAATTTAGAAACTATTATATCGGCTGCACTTTACTACTAATTGTGACGTCATTGCAAACTTAGCGTAAATAGGTTTTACCTTGCATAATTTTCGAAATATTTATAAATATTTAAAATGTCCTTAGACTTTTTGGATCAGAATATTGAATGTTATAATAATAATGTAGGAAAATATAATTTATGCTTTCTTAACATTAATTGAGTGTAATTGATAGTCCATACGTTGCCTGTCATAGTCTATTAATATGAGTTTTCTTTAAATAATAAAAATGTGTACGAATGACATTCAATTCTCTGTATAGGACGGATTCTGTTATTTGTACACGTTGTCAATATTAAAAAAAAATTCTGTAACAGATCGTAACCGCTTCCTAACTAATGGTTGATTGAAAGCGTTGATACAATAATTAAGAGCCTTGAATTATTAGATGAATAACTGGTTGCGTATAACAGAACATTCTTCTTCTTTGTCTTTTAAATTTAAAATTTTCAATTAAGGAGGATCGGAGGGAAAATTCAGCCAATTTCGTATTAATGAAATATATTATGTTTGCAATGCGAAATAAAATTCTGTGAATTATTCTCGAACTATCTATCGATTTGTTTTTGTTTTTTATTAATGCCAAAAATTAGAATATTTAACATAGATTCTCATGGGAAATGCTATGATGCATTAAAATCGAATTATGAATGAAAAAATGCAAATAGTATTTTTAAATTTATTAAATAAACGTTTCGATACATAAATTAGTCATTAGAAATGGATTAATTTGCATTTTTGTAATTCAATTTGGAATGATATAATAAAATGGGAAACTTCCAAATGAAGTATGTTTTTTGAAATCTTCTTTTATTTATAAAGTACGATCAACTTTCAATTCAAGAAGTAAAGAATACAGCAGCATATGAATAATGAAATATTTATACTTTGCATCACAATCTTATGTATTTAGATAAACTATGATATTTTTAATATTATTTTTCATTTTAAAATTAACATGTGCCTAAAAATTCATAGTAAAACACACCTTACACTTCTTGTTTCAATATAAGTGTGTTTATGCCCTTTTTCGTCCTATTTTTGCCCTAAAATTGGCCGTCCACTCAAGTTTGGACATCAGATTCGTGTTCAGCACCCAAAAATACATGGAAAATCTATAAGGTTAAAATCGGGATAGAGTCGGTATTCTTCATGTTGTGGTGGTATTAAGATAACTGCATATTCAATATAGTCCTGCGATTACAAAAAATCTAAATGATGACATTTTTTACTCTTCAAATTTGGTTTGAGCACATCAAAATACCGGGGCTATATGAAACAGATTTAAAATACTTTATATACTAAAGATATTATTAACGATTAGGACATCCTTTACAATGTGAATGACATATGTTAAATTAAGCTTTCATCCAGGTAGTTATTAAAGACAATTCAATACAACCATTAATTAATCAATCAATACAGAAAACTAAAACTGTGTCAGTCTTATGCGTTCCAAGACAGCAAGATGAACATGACATCCAATGTAACCATTAACTAATCAATCATTACAGACAACTAAACTGCGTCAGTTTTATACGTTGCAAGACATGAAAAAGAACAAAACTTTCGACTATACTCAACTTATGGCCCATACCATCAAAATATATAAGTTTTTAGGATTTTGGAGACCTGATCCAGACATGAAACACAAGAATTTATATCACTGCTACACCGCCTTCTGGTTGAGTTTGTCACTCATTTTTATATCGTCACAAGTAATTTATATGTACAACAGCAGGAAGAGCTTGAAAGAAGTTTTAGCTGCTCTATACATAACCTTAACGTTTGTCTCGATTTTAGCAAGACAGTTAACTACCTACCAGAGCATGAATGAATTGAAAGAAATAATAAAGGATTTGAACAGGCCTCTGTTTCAAGTTAAGTGCCAGAAGCACTATGAAATCGCCGACAAGACAACTCGGAACCAGAGATTATTGTATAACATTTGCCTATTCCTAGGCTTAAGTACTGATATCTTTGCAGCTATTTTTCCGCTATTGGCAAACGAAAAAGTAATCCTAGCAAAAGCTTGGTTCCCATACGACTGGACCAAACCTTTCAACTATTTTATGACTTATATTTTCCAGAACGCCGTATTAATTTGGCATACCTTAGTGTGTTATTCTGGTGATATGTCTACATTTACCTTATTATTACACATTGGCATACAATGCGATATACTCTGCTACACTCTGAACCATTTGGATGATTTTTACTTTAAGGATGGGATGCTGCATGAAATCACTCCGAGAGATAAATTAGAGTTCAGAAAGGACATGGAGAAATTCTCTCAAGCTATGGCTAAGAATTTAGTTGTATGCGTGCGACATCATAGAGAGATTATAAAGTAAGAATTTCTTATTGTTTTTCACTTAAAATGTACTGTACTCTATTTATTTTAATGGTGTTGAGCTAATACAAATAAATTCAGAAAAATTCCTTGAAAATCATGTCAAATACAGGCAAGCAATGTTCTTCGAGACTTTAATACGACAGTACTATTTTATAAAATTTTATAAATCACTAAGCATTCTTGAAATATTAAAGATATTTTTTTATTTAAATACACATACGTCGAAAATCATGTGTTCTTCAACCATGGTTTATATAAACTCCTTATTTTTACATGGCGAATATCTCGCTTTAGCATTTCCTCGTCGAACACACTCTATGAGCAAAAGTGACAATTTTTTTCTTGTAACCAGTGGTATTTTCGACAATAAATAATTAAATAATTCTTTCAGGTTCGCCAAAGACATACAACGAATTAAAGAAGTTGACATATTTATTCTTTTTGCAAGTAGAGCTTTAATTTTATGTACCTGTTTGTTTCAACTGTCAATGGTAAGCATCTGCACTTAATAAGTTCATAAACTTTTGTTACTTTTATTTATTTTCATTTCAGGTTCAGTTTGGTTCAGTAGAATCCATGATGTTGCTGTTCTTTTCAATGTGCATGCTTACTGAGCAATTTGTGTTCTGCTGGTTTGGAAGTGACATAATATACAAGGTAATTCATACATTTTTATACATTAGTTATTAGTTTAAAAAAAAAACAATAATTCAGAATATTTTTAATTCATTAATTTCCTCTTTAGGGTTCCTTAATTCTGCAGGCAGCTTACAATACGCCCTGGACAGACTGCAACAACAGATTTCGTAAAATTCTGTTGCAATTTATGACACAAGCGTGTTGTCCACTTAATATTCCAGTAGGGGGGTTGTTTGTAATGTCTCTACCTATTTTCATATCAGTAAGTAAAGAAGATGTGAAATTTATTAAAATAAATTCCATGTAAGTTTATCTTCGATATTGAAATTTATTTCAAAACATTTCACTCTCCAACATGTATTTATTTATTTATTAAACAGACCCACAAAAAATGGGCTGGATCAGACCATGGTATTTTTATCCGTTGAATCCGAATCTAAAGTCCCGAGTCAGTTCATATTTTGATCCTAAAATTAAGACACTTCTCTAGAAAACGGAAAGTAATTAGTTATTGGAAAAATATTGGAATTCATGGTCGTATTGTACCCCTGTGTGTGACGATGTATAACTATGAAACTCTGAGGTATTGAGTCTGCAGTCTTGCTGTAACTCCGTAATCTCTTAACCTGAGACATGCAACTCCTGAGACAGAAGCATACATATTTGTGTTACAAAGTTATTAATACTTCCTTGACTGTACAGTGAGTGTGAAATTTACAAATCAAAATAGTTCAAATAACAATTTAAGGGGTTATATCGTTCGGAGTTATAGAGCTATGGGGTTACGTGCAATAAAGCCATTAATTCCATTTTTTTCCAAGCGCTGACTACCCCACTCGCACAGTGGGGCAGAATCCCAAAAAGCTGGCCAAAAATCAAAATCTTTAAAAATCGATCTAAAATTTGTTACTGGGGGGTTTTGGGGTCGCTGATAACGAATTTGGAGTCAGAATTACAAAATTCAATGTGGAGGATTTAATATAGCCATATCAGAAGTAGAAATATTTTGTAAATAGGGATTTTCCGAGTAGATTAAGAATTAAAAGATTATGAAATACAAAATGTCACATTTATCAAGCATGAAAAAGATGTAAAAATGACAAATGACATATTAGACTGTTCATATATTTCGTTAAATAAGTATCCGGAGTAATTTATTTGAATCCCGTGAAAAAGTTGTAATATAAAATTCCAGTTTTTTCTTAAAAGAAAAGAATCATCATCAGATGAAAAATCTTCATTTGTAGCATCCGTCGAATCTTCTGAAGTTGAGACAATTTCGTCTTTATCTGCAATCTTCCCATGTCTTCATTTTACTACATTTTACAAAAACATATACTAAAAGTTGTTAGGCACTTATAGGCAGCTGATTTTTTTTAGTTTACAGATAATTGTTTTGTCTTTTTTGTCCAATAAGTTAAATGACAGAATTCTGCAGAATTATTAAACTTTTGTTTTCAAAACTAAATTATTATTTCATTTTATAACGTAAAATCCACATAAGTTTGGTAGCCAATGACTATTTTTTGTAAAAATATTGAGTATTTTAACCTACATATTCATAATCTACATACATTTATGAGTTGATTCCATTTTGTTAGAGATAAATCGGTGAACTCTATGAAATTTTATAACCACTTAAACACAACTATTATTTCTGTTCCTACGCGCGAGCCAGGTGTTGCTCGAGCAGCGGTAAGGTGGCCATATTCCTGGCCGAGAAATAGTGAAATTTCTGGCGTTTTTAGGTAATGAAATCTTTAAAAGTAAAACGTGTAGAACAAAAGTACGCATAAAAATAAAATCCTTGATGTTTTATTTATTCATTGTTACCATTTAAATTTACCCAAATAAAATAATAACTAAAAAAAAGCGTTTGTAAAACATGCGTTTGCTGTTATTCTAACCCCACATTTTAAGAATTATTTTCACGTACTTATAAATAAAAGTAAACAATTTTATATGTAGGACTAAGCAAGTAAATGTTATAGGAATATTTACATGTGGAATTATATATAAAAAAGTTTGTATTTTCGTAGATTTCAGTACCTAAAACATTGATGGTTTGATTGTTTTTTGCACCTGGTTATTCGTTTTACTGCGGCGTCTTTGAAAATAACCAGATGGCATGACATAACATTCCTATTATCTGATAAGCTTTAGATTATTCAGTTATTAAATGTTTGAAATTATTTGTCTTTGCGGAAAACACTATTTAAAGAATATGGGGCCCTTAGAAGCAGGTATACGGAATTTGACCCTAATAGTAATGGATTCTGAGATTTGGGATATTACTCTAGCCAATCCAACAGTAAAAAATTCCGAATGAGAAACTTTATTTTTTGACTTTTGGCCAGCTTTTTGGGATTCTGCCCCACTATGAGTCGATTTGAAATCTCGAAAACCACTTTCTAGAGAGGTTTCCAGACGTTAGGAACAAAACGCGACGGTCCAACTCACTTTTTTTATGGCGCTGTGTTATTAAATTTATTATATTTTTTAGGTGCTCCAGACAGCTTACTCTTTTTTGACACTACTTCATTCAATTCAGTAGAAACAAAAAGCATTTGAAGATTAACCGGAACGATGATATTACAAAGAGCAAGATTTAATTTAATTCACAATAGCACATTTTAAGTATTATCAATTATATTCTGCTTTAGTATAAACGACACAAATAAATTTAACATGTCAGACAATTGAAACAATAAACACAGAAGCATATATATTTGTTTCGATTTTGCATGTGATGCCAAGCCACTAGATTCTAATGTTTTCCAGTGAGTCAAAAGAGAAAAGCTATTTTAAGTGTGTGCCGACATGAAACAGCAAAGGGCGTTCTTTGTCCAAATAAACATGTGTTAAAAAGCGTGTGTTTTTAAATTTCTCAAGTCTGATTTAAAATGCTCATACTAAAACATATATTACAAGTAATCAGAAAAATAAGTATATTTTATTAATAAGTGTGCTGGGGTAAATCTACTACGGAATAATTACCTTCAATGTGATTATTACAATATAACTAAAATTGAATTTAGTCGTAGGTACTTAGGGCTCAAATTAAAAAAGGGATAAATTTAATATAATATGTAAATTGAATAAACATCTTTAAGAATGTACAAGAGTGTAAAGCAGTATAAATGAAGGCAACTGATTATCAATCTAAGTATTGATATTAGCAAGGTTTAGCAGAGCTTAAAAGAGCACAATATAGAACTTTTAGGCCAGAAATATTCATAATTTGATGATGATGGTTTTAGAGGTCTAAAGTTAATATAAAGCTGCGATAATAAATTAATGGCACAATTTTGACTCGGAACTGTAGGTTTTGGGTCTATGAAAATCTCACTGAATAAAGTGACTCTAAATTAAAAATGAAACTAAATGTTTACAAGCCCTAAACTTGAGAACTAGAATATATCTCGAACGTAAACGCAACGGTTTGACATTGTTCATTGCAAATGAACTTTTAAAACTACTGTCTCCTTTAACAAATTATAAAGAACCTCGCACGAGGTTATACTATTCCATTTTTTGATATAACTAACTTAATGTTTCCATGTGCTCCATGTTTTATTAAATCCTCGCCATAAATTTCCATACAACACAATACAGACCAGAAATAAAAAAAGTATCTCCACTACATATTTCGCCGGCTGTTTTTACTACTTTTCCAAACACCCTGTATACCTCACTAATTCAATTAAAACCGTATTCTTAAATGGAGTTTTGTTTGCTCCTCCAAAATTTATGCTTTATTAGGGACGCGAGTAGAAATCAGTTTTGATTAATTTTTTGTATCGTTAGGATTAAATAAAAATATATTCTGGTACAACGTCTCGCTCTCTCTTAATTGAAACGGAGCTAATTTATCAGTCGTACCTACAGATAAAAATGTTAATGAACAACTGACCATAATTTAAATTTCGTATTTTATTATTTCACTGATCTGAAAGAAAGATCAATGACCTCTTTCTTCACCCGTCATTCCTATCCAGCAATGGTTTTTGGCAATACCATATATGTCCTGTTATTCACATTTACCTTATAAAGTAAATGTTCCATCACAGATAAAGATTTCAATTGTTCACATAATTTTCCAGACGATCGTTGTAGTTTGCGGTAATCCAAGTCAGCACTTTATAAATCTTTTTGTATATGTACTTAATTTTTTACTTTATTTAATGCATATTGGTACAAAATTAAAATGCCTGTTTATCACCTAAAAGTTAATATTCATTCTTCGAGTATTGCAATCTATTTTTAAATTAATTTTTGTTGTTTTCTTCTAAATTAATTACTTGTAGTGTACTTAAAAGTTTGAGTTGTGAACATTTGATAACGTAACGATAAGAAAGAAACGTAAACATCAACATATCGCATAGAAAAGCTGACATTTCAGGAAGAAAGTTACAAAATTACCTAACATACTACAAAATCTCTATAAGCGAAAAACTGAAAACTAAAATAAATGTACCAATTCAAGTCGTGACATATTCGACAATTCTCGTTTCGCCGAATTAACGTTGGTCATTTGTTTTGTGACTGCCTAGCGCCCTGTTGTCATGTAACAGAAGTATTAATATTGCAGTTCACCTTAATTAGTCAATGTTACAGATTGCGTTTTATGAACGTATTAACAATAATTTGATAAGCAACATTGTGTAACAAAAGAAAACTTCTTCCGAGTTTGTTTGTACTGCATTTTCTATTTTCCGAGCTTAGAATAACAAATACTCCTTGTCGTAAATCTTTTTAGGCTTTGGTGGAGTAATGTCAAAGATGTAACTTCGGCTTTTGGTCGGATATATTCTGGTAAAATGACAATCGGAAAATTTGTTATTTAATAACAGCTATCAATGACGGCAAACGTTAACAACCAAGACTATTTTAAAATATCTCTCCAAGTGTGGTTTTCATTAAAAAACTACAAGGGTTGAACAAAACATCGTATATCACACGTGAGAGAGAAATGTCATTATAAGTAAGTGAGAATTTGCCACACTCAGTTAAGTGTTCGTGCGTCAAATATTTCACTTGCTTATAATGACTTATTCCACTAACTTGTACTTATATAATGTACTATTTTATTTACGACTTAACGATTACCCACATAAAACGCTAGCCACAAGACGTTCGTAATGGGTTACATCTGTCTGTTTCCACATACTAACCACACCTCTTCTTCAAATAGTCCATAATAGCAGTAATACGCGCTCATCGGTAGCTGATGATAGAGACTGGCACCGGTTGTAAGGAAGCCAGAATTGTAGAGTGGATTCCAGAACAAACTATGCAGCAAAACTACGATTTTTCTAGTTATTTTAGACCCAGTATTATAATTTTGAAAATATTGGGATTTTGGAGGCCCGAGAGAAATATGAAATTCAAGGGAATATACAACTGCTACACCGCCCTCTGCTCTTTAATTTGGGTGCAATTTTTACTATCGCAAATAATCTACATTATTAATAATAGGAATGATGTCCAAGAAGTTACAGCTGTTTTATCCGTAACAGTGACATTCACCATTAACTTGATACAAATGATGTTCTTTTACAAGAACACGAATTACTTGAAAATACTAATAAAAGAAATGAATAGACCGCTATTTCAAGTGAAATGCCAAAAACATTATCATATTGCTAAAAATACCGAAAGAATGTATAAATTAATGTTTAAATCTTGTCTTTACTTGGCAATACTAACTGATGCCTTGGTTACAGTTGTGCCATTGATGGGGAAGGAAAAGAAGTCTTCAATAAAAGGATGGTTCCCGTACGATTATACTAAGCCTTTGTACTTTATTTTAACCTATATTTTCCAAAAGTTAGTTTTTATATGGAACACATTCATATGTTTGAATACTGCTATGACAATTATAGGTTTGTTGACTCAATTTGGGCTGCAGTGTGATCTACTTTGCTGTACGTTAGATTCTTTGGATGATTTCTATACGGAAGGCAATGTCCTGTATGAAATCAGTTTGGAAGATAAGTTAAAACTGACAAAAGATAGAGAAAGATTCTCGATAGAAATGACAAAAAATTTGGTGATATGCGTAGAGCATCATCGGCAAATCATAAGGTACAATTTACGCTAAGCTAATTCAATTTAATTGTAAAAGTTTTCCTAACTGACTACATGGCAACCAGCTCGGAAATCGATTAGCCAAAACTGTTGCTGTTGTAATATTCTGAATAAAGCTTTTCCAAATGGAAGAATTTTTAAGTATCTCTCTTAGTAACGACAATTTTTTATATTAATTTGAGCAAAAATGGAAAAAGTAAAAAAAATTAGGTCCATAAATGTAATTTATACATGTTCTATGTTGTCATAATCTCGTTTTAAGCAAGAAAGTAAGAGCTTTTACTTAATATCTTTACCAATTTATTTCAGGGTTGTCAAGGATGTAGAACGAATCAGTGGAACTGGTTTATTTATTCTTTTTGTTGGAGGAGGGCTGATTTTGTGTTCATCCTTATTCCCATTATCTGTTGTGAATAGTTTTTCCATATAACTATGAAACGGTTTGAATTAAAAACTTCTTTTGATATTTAATATATGCAGAGACCGATGGATAAAAAGTAAGACGATTTTCTCCTATGAAGATGAAGAAAATCGTTTGAGATGGTTCTTTTAATTGAAATTTTAATTATACCTTTTCTAAAAAACAATACAACGCATTAAAATTTGAAAAAAGTAAGTAAAATATGTCAATGTTATTAGTTTTTTATCATCTGCCAGAGGTTGTTAGCTGGGATCTTATTCATTCATGGGATCATTATATGAAAAAAAAAAATACTGTCAAAACTAATTTAAAACGCAATATCATTCCAAATTCTGTTGAAAACAGATTTTCGAAACTTTAAAGACTTATTGAAACGCACGATATAATGATGTCCATTTTGTATTTTTTATATGACTGCCTTTTTCAGTGTGAGATTTTTATTAGGCAAAACTGGCAAAAGGTCGCAAAATACCCAAAAAGTAAAGAGGCATCACTAGTAATTTTCAAATATTTTCCATACCTACTTGTAATTTTAAATCATGTTCGTTATTCAATGAATTTGGTTTCAAATTAGTAATTTGGAAAAAATCAATAAGAAAAACTATAGTAAACAAATGTAACAAAACTAAAACTATGGTTTTGAAACCAAATTAATTGAATAACACATATACATGAGTACTAAATAATAAAATTATTTGAAACGCTAATTCCATTTCAAAGTTATAAGAAAATTTGATATAAAATACTCTCTTCAACCAAAGGAGTATCTGGTCGAGTCTCTAGTCTTACATTGTTGGCGTATTTTGAAAACATTCTATATACAAGGGATCCCAATAATTTATTTATAATTTTTCATTTTAGAGTTCGTTAATTCTACAATCGGCTTTCAATACACCTTGGATAGGCTGTAACGTCAAGTTCCAGAAAATCATGTTGTTGTACATGATGAAAACTTCTAAACCGATGAGTATACTCACAGGAGGACTGTTCACAATGTCTGTGCCGGTTTTCGTCTCAGTAAGTGCCTTTAATTGAAAAAAATAGTTAACACAAAATAAATGCCTGGTTGCTGAGTACCCACAGTAATTTTACTTTGAAACTGGGTTTACTGTGCAATGAAGTCAGACTCAAGTCAATCTGAAATTTTGAAAACCGCTTTCTAGAGGACTCTCTTGATGTCAGCGAGTCAAAGTACTGTACGATACACTAATCTGGTCTATGTACAGATACACAAAATATACTGAATTTTACTGCTTACAGAATTAAACGATTAGTTTGTTCTCTTGACCCATTGATTTTAAATAGTGTGTCAAATAAAAAATTACCATAATCGTAGAACAAATGAATGTAGACATTATATACAATTTGTTACAAATACGAGACGTCTGTTTTTTTTTTGCTAGAAATGCATCGGCGAATGTAAAGCCTACTTGTATTTCTAAAATCTTCAGTGGCGACGACATTCTGAAGCTTCCAGTGGTGTTAACTCCCCGTGCTTTCGCCACTGGTTGACGTATTTATTAAATCTTAACGAATTTTTATTTCTAATTAAATAAATAAATAGATGAACGAAGGTTTATCAGGCTGCGTCAAATGATCTCTTCCCAGAGGTATTTCAGTAAATGTATTACATTTATTTTTTTTATTTTAACACCCTGTATTTCAAAATTAAAGAGTTCTATGACATACATTCATATGAAACTTTTTGCTTAAACTAATTTGTCTTATTACCTGGTAAAATATATCAAAATTTGAATCATCCATTCAGGTTTGTCCCGTTTAAAACTGTCACTTTGTATTTACTTATCCATATATTTATTTTTTGTAGACACTGCGAACGGCTTACTCTTACTTTACCCTGCTCCAGAATATTCAGTGAAAAAGTGTGAAAATCACATCGATGGAAATATGAACTAACAACAGTAGCTAATTTAAATTCGATTTATAATAACACGCTTTACTATCTGCAAATATTTCACATTATTCTATATTGCTTTAGTAAATTAACGAGTATTAAAATAAAAACAAAACATAAAACACACCACAGAAATGAGACAACCCCCAAATCCAAAGCCAAAGGCTTGTGCGGAAGGGGGCTACACTTGAAAAAACGCGGACAAACACCCATTATCCATCGACATTGCCAGTGCCGACACCGGGGATCGAACCCGGACCAGAGTAGGAAGCCTAGCCGAGAAATGCTTGCCACCGCACTCTCGACCGACTGCGCTACCGTGGCGAAAATAGAGTGACAATGTAATTTTAGTTGTAGACTTATTGTATTACGTAAATAAATTAGAAAGAGAGCATCTACCTATATCATTGTTGATATTCTTTGTTTATTTTCCTTTCTTTTAGGAAAACTAAAGTACAAAAGTTTACAAAGCTGAAAGAGCTGAAATGATATTTAATTTATGTCAAATGTAGCATCCATATACTGGGCATTTTTTAAGCCTGAACTTTCCTTTTAAACCTACAGTAAAACACAAAAAAAAGTAAAAACAATTTTAGTAACATTTCTTTGAAAAATAAATTTCCGTTAAAATGTGTTCAGTGTGTAATGAAACAATTTTTCACAGTATAGTCACTATAAGCTGACAATTTATTGTAAGTTTGTTATTGAAATTACAAAAAATTTTTAATACAAAAGTTTTAACTTTTTTATGAATTTTTATTATTAAAAAAAAACTATTAGTACCTATTAGAAAAAAACAATTGAATAATGGAAATCACGAAGTTAAAGAAAAAAATGTTTTTAATGCGACACCCTATATATTAGTGCATACTTAGCTTCGTTAAATTTTTCTCTTTTCAAAAATATATATAATATGTTACTGTTTGACTCAGGACTTTTCGACAATTTAAAACAATTTTTGAAAAAACAGTAAATTTATCTTCGATACTTAAAATTTAATTCAAAACATCTCAGTCTCCAACATGTATTTATTTATTTATTGAACAGCCCCGCAATAAATGGGCTAGATCAGACCATGGTATTTTTTCCCGTTGAATCCGAATCTAAAGTCCCGAGTTAGTTCATATTTTGATCCTAACATTAAGACACTTCTCTAGAAAGTGGAAAGTAATCAATTATTGGAAAAACATTGGAATTCATGGTCATATTGTACCACTGAGTGTGTGACGATGTATAACTATGAAACTCTGAGGTATTGAGTCTGTAGTCTTGCTGTAACTCCGTAATCTCTTAACCCGAGACATGAAAACTCCTATAGACAGCATACATATTTATGTTACAAAGTTATTAATACTTCCTTAACTGTAGGTACAGTCAGTGATTGTAAAGTATTGCAATCAAAATAGTTCAAATAACAATTTACGGGGTTATAGCGTTCGGGGTTATAGAGCTATGGGATTACGTGCAATGAGGTCATTAATTCCATTTTTTCCAAGCGCTCACTACCCCAGTTGGTTTGAAATCTCGAAAACCACTTTCTAGAGAAGTTTCTAGACGTTAGGAACAAAACTGACTTTTTTATAGCGCCGTGTTATTAAATCATTTATTATATTTTTTAAGTGCTGCAGACAGCTTACTCTTGTTTGACTACTTCATTCAATTCAGTAGAAACAAAAACAGCTGAAAATTAACTAGATCACAATAGCACATTTTGAGTATTGCCTATTATACTCTGCTTTAGTAAATGTATAAACGACACAAATAAATTAAACATGTCAGACAATTGAAACAATAAACACAGAAGCATTATATATTGTTAAGTTTGTGTCGATATGAAACAGCAAAGGGGATTGTTTGTCCAAATAAACATGTGTTAAAAGGATGTGTTTTTAGATTTCTCAAGTCTGATTTAAAATGCTTAGAAAAATAAATATCCTAGCATAGTGACGAAATAATATTACCGCAGTATAAATAAAGGCAAGTCTCTATCAATCTCAATACGAGTATTAGCAAGGTTTAGCAGTGCTTAAAAGAGCACAACATAGAACTTTTAGGCAAGATTATATAATTTAAAGGATAATGATGATATGAGAGGTATAAAGTTATGCTGTAGGGAAATTTTCTGAAAAATATATTTTATGACGAAGCTACTTTTATAACCAATAGTACAGTTTTGACTTAGAACTGTTGGTTTTGGCCTTATGAAAATTTACCTGAAGAAAATGACTATATAATAAAAATGAAACTAAATGTTTAGGGGCCCCAATCCTGATAACTCTTAAAAATATAATATTTAGATATATAGGTAAGTTTTGAACAAAAAGGATTACAAGCCACGTGACCAGTAATTTCGTTTTGGAACAGTAATTTTATTTCCTTCAAGTTGGCGTTTAAATTTCGGTAACATTAAAAATTATTAAAACAGTAAGATCACGATTACATTAAAATCAGCGATCGCTTTATTTCGAGCGTAAACGCAGCGGTTTGCCATTATTCATTGTAAACGAATCATTAATAATCACGCTCTTGAACAATGAAATAATTTTTTTATTATCTTTTAAAACTACTGTCTCCTTTAACAAATTATAAAGAACCTAGCATGATTATTTATTAAATCCTCGCCATAAATCTACGTACAATACAAGCCAGACCAAAAATAAAAAATTGTATCTCCACTGCATATTTCGCCGGTTGGAAATAGGCATAAATTAGTACCGACGGAAATAAGTTATATATCGCACTAATTCAATTAAAATCGAATTCTTAAATGGAGTTTTGTATGCTCCTCCAAAATGTATGCTTTATTAGGGATGCGAGTAGAAACCAGCATTCAAAGTTTTGATTAATTTTTTGTTTCGTTAGGATTAAATAAAAATAAACAGAACAGCTGATACCATAATTTAAATTTCGTATTTTATTATTTGACTGATCTGAAAGGAAGATCAACGACCTCTTCCTTCACGCGCCATTCCTATCCAGCAATGGTTTTCGGCAATACCATATATGTCCTGTTATTCACGTTTATCTTATAAAGTAAATGTTCCACCATAGATAAAGATTTCAATTGTTCACATAATTTTCGAGACGATCGTTGTAGTTTGCGGTAAACCAAGTCAGCACTTTGTAAATCTTTCTGTATATGTAGGAACTTTTTAACTTTATTTAATGCATATTGGTACAAAATTAAAATGTGTGTTTATCAACTAAAAGTTAATATTCATTATTCGAGTATTGCAATCTATTTTTAAATTAATTTTTATTGTGCTGTAGTTAGCCATTATGTCTTTTCTACAGAGCCTTTATGAATGTTTACACACCACGTGACCATTGTTAAGAACAGTAATTTTAATTCCTTCACGGTGGCAAATAAATTTCGGTTAAAACAATAAGATCAAGATTACATTAAAATACAATATTCTGTTTCATAGGTTGTGACTGATAAAATATTTCACGAGAGTGATGTACCCCGTATAATATATTTGTTGTTATTGATAATGTAATGCTTAGATCATAATAATAAATGTTATGAAGCTTAGAGATAAAAATAATACTAGAGTCAGCTTTTTAAATGAAAATATAAACTCTTTGCAAATCTTAACATTTTAATTGTAATATTGTCACGAAGTGAATAAAGCTTGTTCTTACAAACAACATACTTTGAGTTAATTATTTGATATATAATTTCACAAGTAAAACTCGAGATGAATCATTAATATTGACGCCAAGATGTATGGGATTTTCGTTACTAGTAGGTACCAATGTTGGGTTGCCTAAAATCGACAGTCACGTGGCTTGTAAACATTTATGAAGGCTCTCTAAATAAACCAGTGAAATAGTCACTTTTGGGTTTTGAGTTATCAGTTTTCTTTCTAAATTAATTACTTGTACTGTACTTAAAAGTTTCAGTTGTGGACATTTGATAAAGTACTAACATACCGCATAGAAAATCTCTTAAACCGATAAACTGAACACTAAAATAAATGTACCAATTGAGGTCGTGACATATTCGGCCATTCTCGTTTCGCCGAATTATCGTTGGTCATTTATTTTGTGACTGCCTTCACATAAGAGAAGTATTAATATTGTAGTTCACCTTAATTAGTCAATGTTACAGATTGCGTTTTATGAACTTATTAACAATAATTTGATAACCAACATTGTATAAAAAATGCGCCAAGCCCCAGCTAGCAAAATAGTTCTATAAATTTAGAGTAATACGAGTTTTAGATTCTGTTAATGTTTTATAGTTGTATCTAGAACACTGAATTGTTGCATTAAAGTGGCACATGAGACTATTTTGCCTTCAGAAACTGAATTGTTTTATAAATTTGTGGCAAGAACGTTCTTAGAGCATAATTTATAGAGCATTTATAAAATAACTGCTAATATAGCCCTATAAGTGTGTACAGTAACACAATTTTACAGCAACGGTGCTTATAGAATTAAATAATTGTAAAACCGATGCAAAATTGTGCCTTATAGAATTATACCATCTCTTGTGACACTATTATAAAATTATTCCGTAATGTCGCTTATAGTTTCTTTAGAGAACTATTGTTACCATTCTGCTGCGGATAACAAATTACAGATATGGAAGCTGCTATCGAACTTAAGAGAAAAAGCTCTTTAAGGCAATTATAGATAATAATAATACAGTTGTTATAAAATTATTATAGAGCAAATAAGTAATACAAGCCTTTTTGTTCCATAAAAACGCTATATAGAACTATCATACCATATAGGTAACCATACTTTATTTGACGCCATGTTGCAAGTGTTTATTTTGATGTGTTGGGTGTACGAATTTTGTGCAACATATCTTGTTGAAAATAATAACACTATTATACCTACATATAAAAATTATTTTCTTGAGAAAATGTTAATACGTGAAAATAATAACGTTAAAAATTATTTGCTTAATATATACATTTTTTTTAAATTACCAATTTTAATCCCTTATTTATGAACTTCTTTAAATAAGGGATTAAAATTGGTATAATACATTGACTTTTTCAATCTATTTTTGAATGTAAACTTGATTTATATTGACGTATTTTTTTTTTAAATGTCATTACATATATCAAGCAAGTAAATAATTTTTAACGTTATCATATTGAAGCTTAATTATTTTGGCGTATTAACATTTTCTCAAGAAAATAATTTATCTATGTAGATATAGATACTAGGCCCCCATCTAACAAGACCTGCCTGTAAAAGGACGAAATATTTTGATCAAAGCATAACGGGGAAATATGTATAATATGGTCGTGACGTATAGAAATTATCTGATTGCTGAAAGATAATTTCATTACGATAGATGAGACTTATTTGATTACTAATAGAAATTGATTTTTCCTTATAGAAATTTAGTAACATATTTAATTTCGACCACTCCAAACCTTACTCTTTTACACTTCTAGATGCTGAAGTTAAATAATTTTATTAGCTTTATTAAACAAGATTAAAATAATTGAAATTACCACAATACAATTTTTTCAACCTACTGTTAGAATAGAATAGTTTCAAGAAAATCCCAATAAAACAAAAAAAAACAAATATGAACAGTGAACACGCCTCAAATAAATTATAACTAGAACTTATTTTCGATATTGTGGATATTAAATGGCATAGATCTGTTATAGTAGCTGCTTACGATGCATATTTGCTTTATAATCATTGCAATCGACACAAAAATGTCATATTAGTGAGAATCCATATTGAAAGTACAAAATAAAGCCTTTCTTTCTGTCGCCATATTGTGAAGAAAGAAAAAAATCATAATTAAAAATATATACAATATAATTAGGTGATATGAAATGATATCAATAATATGCTAAATTCATCAATTTAGAAAACATTTTTTTTTTATTAAATTTCCAGCATCGTAGGAAATATAAGGTAAACTGGGTGCGCGTAAAAAAATTACCATTATGTACCAGATATTTCACGATAAAGCTTTTTCCGCATTAAAATGTACCGCTCCATGATGGACTCTATACAAACCAACTAAGCAATTCTTAATGACATGAGTACTCTTATGCAGGTTGATTAGGTCCATGTTGGTATTATTTCTGACATGTACAGCGTTGTGATGCGATACAGAAACATTTTGTTTTTAAAAGATACAATTAAACGATTTTAAAGTTCTCTAAATAGAATACCATGCAACACAAATTGTATAACGAAATAATGTGCGCTGCTAAAGAATAATTATATAAGAGTTTTTTGTTAGTACTATTCAAGAATTCTAAGACGGCATTTTAGAACTGCTTTGTAACTGTGTTATAAAAATTCTTTAAGACCTGTGAGAACGTTTATTCAACAACTCTATAAATATTTGCTGCAGACCTTACAGAACAGTTTAAAGAATAAAAAAGTTCTATAGAACGGCGCCCATTTTTATGGTATAAGTGTTGTAAGAACGTTTTGAAATTGTTCTTAGAACAAACATTGCTCTATAAAATTTGCTCTGGAAACGTTCTTACGATTTTTATAGAACATGAAATTGTTAGCTGGGAGAAAACGTCTTCCGAGTTTGTTTGTACTGCATTTTCTATTTTCCAAGCTTAGAATAACAAATACTCCTTGCCGTAAATCTCTTTAGGTTTTGGTGGAAGTAATGTCAAAGATGTAACTTCGGCTTCTGGTAGAATATATTCTGATAAAATGAAAATCAGAAAATTTGTTATTTAACAACAACAACCAAGACTATTTTAAAATATCTCTCCAAGTCTGGTTTTCATTAAAAATCTGCAAGTGTTGAGCAAAACATCGTATATCACACGTAAGAGAGAAATGCCATAAGTATGTGAGACAGTCAAATATCTTACTTGCTTATTTCACTAACTTGAACTTATATAATGTACTATTTTATTTATCACTTAATGATTACCCACATAAAACGCTAGTCACGAGGCGTCATGTCACCCTGACAAGCTACCATTCGTAATGGGTCACATCTGCCAGTTTCCACATACTAACCACACCTCTTCTTCAAACAGTCCATAATAGCAGTAAGGTACGCGTTCATCGGTAGCTGATGATAGAGACTAACATCGGTCGTAAGGAAGTCAAAATTGTAGAGTCGATGCTAGAACAAAATATGCAGCAGAACTACGATTTTTCTAGTTATTTTAGACCCAGCATTATAATGTTGAAACTCTTCGGATTTTGGAGGCCCGACAGAAATATGAAATTCAAGGGAATATACAACTGCTACACGTGCCTCTGCTCCTCAATTTGGGTGGCATTTTTATTATCGCAGATAATCTACATTATTAATAATAGGAATGATGTCCAAGAAATTACAGCTGCTTTATCCGTAACAGTGACATTCACCGTTGACTTGATAGTAATGATGTTCACTTACAAGAACATGAATTGCTTGAAAATACTGATAAAAGAAATGAATAGGCCCCTGTTTCAAGTGAAATGCCAAAAACATTATCATATCGCTAAAAATACCGAAAGGATGTATAAATTAATGTTTAAATCTTGTCTTTACTTGGCAACACTAACTGATGTCTTCGTTATGGTTGTGCCATTGATGGGGAAGGAAAAGATGTCTTCGGTAAAAGGATGGTTCCCGTACGACTATACTAAGCCTTTGTATTTTATTTTATCCTATATTTTCCAAAAATTAGTTTTTATATGGAACACATTCATATCTTTTAATATTGGTATGATAATTTTAGCTTTATTGATTCAAGTTGGGCTGCAGTGTGATTTGCTTTGCTGTACGTTAGATTCTTTGGACGATTTTTATACGGAAGGTAATGTCCTTTATGAAATCAGTTTGGAGGATAAGTTAAAACTGACAAAAGATAGAGAAATATTCTCGAAAGAAATGATAAAAAATTTGGTGATATGCATAAAGCATCATAGGCAAATCCTAAGGTACGTTTTAAATGTTAAGCTAATGATTGTAAAAGTTTTCCTAAAATTCTTATTAAATGAAGTTATAATGATTTTTGAAACCAAGTATCCCCGTGCTAAAAAATTACTCATAGGCAAGCTAGTATTTAATAATTGCTTAAAAAATAAATAATCGTTAATGAAGTGTAAAAAAATATTTCATATTCTTGATTCTAACAACTATTAGCATTAATTATTATTTTGTGAGCTCTTTTTAAAATTAAATTAATGGATATCTAGTTTTAATACTTTAAAATAATAATAAAATCAGTTCAGTTTAATTGATGTTCCAAGTTTTCTTTGACATACATGTAGGAAAACGGTACATTTCAAATAAACGTTTGAAATTTTAATGAGCTTGATTTCACAGATGTCCGTACTAGTTAAAGCGTTGAGTGAGGAAATAATTCTCAGTCAACAATTAAAGTTAATCGTTTATAAATGCAGTTTTATGAAAAAAAGTTCAGTGTTACATGTGAAACGTTGCTGAAATTGGCTTAGAATAAATCTTTAATCGTGGTGATAATGGAAAATAGTTTAATTTAAGGATATTATATACGGGGTGTTTCAATTAAAACCTCCTACTGGAAAATATCGGAATTAAAAAAAATAGCAACGACAAAAATTTTTTATATTAATTTAAGGAAAAATGGGAAACTAAAAAGTAAAATTAAATCCATAAATTTTGCTATCTGTACTTCTTTCATGTTGTCATAAACTCGTTTTAAGCAAGAAAGAAGAGCTTTTACTTAATCATTACCAATTTATTTAATAGAAATTATTTCAGGGTTGTCAAGGATGTAGAGCGAATTAGTGGAACTGGTTTATTTATTCTTTTTGTTGGAGGAGGGCTGATTTTGTGTTCATCCTTATTCCCATTATCTATTGTGAGTAGACAATCACGCAGTTTATTCAGTAAATTCAACGTTTTGAAAAGACAAATGCATTTGTAGCTTCTAGTCCAAACTATGTATAAGTTTATATAAAGATTTATACCTTCACAAATAAAATTTCATTAGAGATTAAAATCTCAGCATTTTTAAATCCTCCTGTTGCATTTAGAAACGAATTGTAATACTTATTTTAACTTTTAGGTTGAGATTGGAAGCATAGAATTCATCATGCTACTTTTTTATTTAATCTGCATGCTGGTCGAACAATTCTGTTATTGTTGGTTCGGCAATGAAATAATCTTCAAGGTAATTCTGGTTAGTTTGCTACACGTTTCTTAAAAATAATAGATAAAGATATATTGATTTGATACATTGACTATGAAAGACTAGAAGCAATAGTTTTTCCACATAACTATGAAACGGTTTGAATTAAAAACTACTTTTGATATACATCTATATACAGAGTACCTACTTTTGAAAAATATTTAATAAATTCAGAGACCGATGGAACAAAAATAAAACGATTTTCTCCTATGAAGATCAAGAAATTGTTTGAAGTGGTTCTTTTACTTAAATGAAAGTTTAATTCCACCTTTTCTAAAAAACAATTAAACACATTAAAATTTGAAACAAATAAGTAAAATATATCGATGTTATTAATTTTTTGTCATCTGCCAGAGGATGCTAGCTGGGATCTTATCTAGTGACATTATATGAAAGAAAATACTGTCAAAACTAATTTAAAACGCAATATCATTCTAAGTTCTGTTGAAAACAGATTTTCGAAACTTCAAAGACTTATTGAATGATGGCCATTTTGTATTTTTTTATTTGACTGCCTTTTTCAGTGTGAGATTTCTTATTGGCAAAACTGGCAAACGGTCGCAAAAAAATAATGAGGCATCACTAGTGATTTTCAAATATTTTCCATACTTGTAATTTTAAATGAAATTGGTAATTTTGAAAAATCAACAAGAAAAACTATAGTAAACAAATGTAACAAGACTAAAACTATGGTTTTGAAACCAAATTAATTGAATAACACATATACTGAGTACTAAATAATAAAATTATTTGGAACGCTAATACCATTTCAAAGTTATAAGAAAATTCGATATAAATTACTCTCTTCAACCAAAGGAGTATGTGGCCGTGCCTCTAGTCGTACATTGTTGGCGTATTTTGAAAACATCCTATATATAAGGGATAGCATTAATTTATATTTTTCATTTTAGAGTTCCTTAATTCTACAATCGGCTTTCAATACACCTTGGATAGGCTGTAACGTCAAGTTCCAGAAAATCCTGTTGGTGTTCATGATGAATACTAAACCGATGAGTATACTCACTGGAGGACTGTTCACAATGTCTGTGCCGGTTTTCGTCTCAGTAAGTGCCTTTAATTGAAAAAATAGTTAAAACAAAATGAATGCCTGGTTGCTAAGTACCTACAGAAATTTTACTTTGAAACTGGGTTTCTGTGCAATGAAGTCAGACTCTAGACAATATAAAATTTTGAAAACAGCATTCTAGAGTACTCTCTTGCTGTCAGCGGGTCAAAGTACTGTACGATACACTGATCTGGTCTACGGCCATGTCCACTTTTTTATGTACAGATACACAAAATATACTCTTGACAGATTGTTTTTAAATCGTGTGTGAAATAAAAAATTACCATAACTGTAGAACGAATAGATTTAGAAATTATATACAATTTGTTACAAATATGAGACTCCTGTTTTTTTGCTAGAAATGCAATGGTGAATGTAAAGCCTACTCGTATTTCTAAACTCTTCAGTGGTGACGACATTCTAAATCTTCCAGTGGTGTTAACTCCCCCTGTTTCCGCCACTGGTTGACGTATTTATTAAGTCTTAACGAATTTTTATTTCTAATTAAATAAATAAATAGGTGAACGATGATTCATCAGGCTGCGTCAAGTGATCTCTTCGCAGAGATATTTCAGTAAATGTATTATATTTATTTTTTTTATTTTAACACCCTGTATTTCAAAACTAAAGGGGTCTACGACATACATTCATATGAAACTTTTTGCTTAAACTAATTTGTTCTATTACCTGGTGAAATTTTCCTATCAAAATTTGGAACATCCATTCAGATTATCCCGTTTAAAACTGTCACTTTGTATTACTTATTATTATTACTCATCCATTTATTTATTTTTTGTAGATACTGCGAACGGCTTACTCTTACTTTACCCTGCTCCAGAATATTCAGTGAAACAGTGTGAAAATCATATCGCTTTAATTTAGATTCGATTTATAATAGCGCACTTTACTATCTGCAAATATTTCACATTCTTCTATATTGCTGTAGTAAATTAACAAGTGCTAAAATAGAGTGACAATGTAATTTTAGTTGTAGTCTTATTGCATTATTTAAATAAATTAGATAGAGAGCATCTATATCATTGTTGATATTCTTTGTTTATTTTCCTTTCTTTTGGGAACACTAAGCATGTACAATACAAAAGTTTACAAAGCTGAAAGAGCTGAAATGATATTTAATTTAGGTATGTCAAATGTAGTACCCATATACTGGGCATTTTTTAAGCCGGAGTTTTCCTTTTAAACCTACAGTAAAAGTCAAAAAGTAAAAACAATTTTAATAATTTTAGTCACATTTCTTTGAAAATTAAATTTCTGTTAAAAATATGTTCCGTGTGTAATGAAACAATTTCGCATAGTGCATATGTATGATTATTTGTTCCATAGTGGAAAAAGAAGTCACCATCTGCAGGACAAAATCGCAAAAGAAAATGTTAGGTATACAATTGTGATGGTAGGATAGCATTTTACTGACAATCTCTGTATTACCTGTAAATTAATCATCTTAATAATCATACGGAAGTTACCGGTATAAGACAAAAAGCTGCAAAACGCGATTGCTTTACTATAATAACGTAATTAATTACTCAAAAGTTATGGAACTTTTATTATTAGTATAAGAACTGAATCATAAAACTTTTCACCAACTATGAATTTGAATTATTTAAGTGATTCATCAACAGTTCAGTAAATACAATGCTTCCAAACAAAAACTTGTATTGAAATTAGAGATTTTCATAAACACAACTTCCTTACGAGTTAATTATTGCAATATACCTATCATGAAATTTCCCTGCATGTGTTTAGACAAGATAGGTAATAACAGTTCCTTCACGATTTTCTTCTGCAGAACTTTGAAGCTATCAAACACTGAGAGAACTTGCTGGGGATCTATAAAAAAATTACAACATAAATCCTCAAATACCTAATAAAATGCAAATCATCATTAATATTAACGAAAGAATGCTTTTCAGAAACTTTTAAATTTTCTAAATAGATGTACCTACACAAATACAAATTCAAGAACAAAATCCAAACTTTTCAGAAACAAGTTTTTACTACTTTTTGTTAATATTTTCAAATAATATTTCAAGAAAACTGCAACTTATATTCCTATATACCTATATATACTGCTCAAAAAAAGATTAGAGATATTTTATTAAATTGAAACTTCTTTGTTGCAATGTTTTTACGATAAGTTTGCAGTGACGTCACAGTATGAAATGGTACAGTGTTTCCAGGTTGCAATTTTCTGGGATATTTAAAAAAATTAATTTTTAATATCGAATCCAATTTATTAAAATTTTAGCCTAGAACTAAGGATTATGAAGAATTTTTAAATAATTTGAGAAACAATCAAAACTGTGCAATGTGATTAGTGCAGTTAATATTTTCTGAAGTTCTTCAAGAAAACAATAGTAGGAATACAAAACAATATACAGGGTGTTTGGGATACCGGGTTTTCGGGCATGCCCTTCTCAACTAAACTAATGACGTCCACGTACCACTTCCGGTTATACCGGAAGTCGCCATCAATTTGCTTATTTTAAAAGGAACACCCTATATATTATTGCAATTTTGGATTCTACGTGTTATTTTAGGTGGACTTTTATGAAGTTTCCCTATTTCTAAAATTAACCGTTTTCGAGATATTTAAGTTTTTTCAAAAAAATGGAGAGAAACAGTGACTAGCTTCAAACCATGTGTATTTTATAGTAAGAAAGATAAAGCAACAATATTTATAGAGAGGATAGCTAGACCCCTAAGCATTCCATCCATACTTTCAAAGTGGCTTAATTGCATACAGGATGCTAGAAATTTAATGCCGAGTTTAGTTAACACAATTTTATTCTCTTTCGAACGGTATCAGGGTTCACTATACCTATCTCTTCTAGTTTTTAAGTTATCTACTATTTTTTGTGGAATCACCTAAAATCATGTAACTTCTTGCGAGGATAACTGGAATTTTTAGTAAAAATTGAAAACAAACTTTACCTTATATACTTTTAGGAATATGTCTAAATAGGTATTTAAAATGTCCCTAGACTTTTTGGAGCGGTATATTCAATATAGTTAAGAATTTAAAACTTCAGTAATATAGAAAAATATAATTTTATGCTTTTTAATATTAACTGAGTGTAATTGATAATCCATATGTTGCCTGTCATAGTCGATTAATATGAGTTTTCTTTAAATAATAAAAATGTGTACGAATGACATTCAATTCTCTGTATAGGACGGATTCTATTATTTGTACGCGTTTACAATATTAAACAATTTTCTGTAATAGATCGTAACCGCTTCTAATTAACGGTTGATTGAAAGCGTTGATAAACATAAGAGCTTTGAATTCAAATTAGATGCATATCTGGTTGCATATAATAGAATCTTTTTATCCTTTTCTCATTTTAAAATTTTCACTTAATAGAACCTGTTAATTGTTACATACTTTTTGCCAGATAAAAATTAATCTTTGGGTAATTCATATCGTCAACGATTTGATTTATTTGTTATATCTTCAAATAACTAATATTCACGTAATGTCCGAAGAAATTTATTTGCGCCATACCTACTTTTAGTATCTCCTTTGCCTATTGGATATCTTGTGAAAAATTTTATTAAAAAACCCTAAAATAATTAGATTTTATATTTAAGTTTTTAACATGCTTTGAAGTTCAAAATAATCCATAAAATATTATCAAATGATAATGAAAACTTCTAAATGGCTGCTGAGTCATATACTTAGGAAAATTAATCCATGTTAGCTACAAATATTAAAGAAAGAAGTGATATATCTAACTATGGAATAGACAAAAACAATTCAAATTTGAACTGTCAATCCTTAAAAAAGAAATGTTAACTTAATTGAAGTGGGTGGACATGTATTTGATTTGTTTTTCTTTTCACTGTATTTTTGATTAGGTAAAATTTGTTTAATAAAAAGAAATGTTGAGTGATTCTTTTGGCGCAAGGGGCAAAATACCCAATAAACAGAAAAAGAGAGCTAATATTATTCGTAGTTAAAAAAAAAAGTCTTTCTGACACATTAATATGTAATAGATTTAAAATTAAAAATTAAATTACAAATTTTTACATGAAAGATGTTATTAACGCTTAGGACATCCTTTACAATGCAACAGTGCTGTCAACGACACATGTTAGATTAGGCTTTCCTCCACGTAATTATTACAGACATCCAATGTAACCATTAACTAATCAATCATTACAGACAACTAAACTGCGTCAGTTTTATACGTTGCAAGACATGAAAAAGAACAAAACTTTCGACTATTCTCAACTTATGGCCCATATCTTCAAAATATATAAGATATTAGGATTTTGGAGACCAGACCCAGACATGAAACACAAGAATTTATACCACTGCTACACCGCCTTCTGGTTAAGTTTGTCAATCACATTTATGTCGTCACAAGTAATTTATATGTACAACAACAGGAAGAGCCTGAAAGAAGTTTTAGCTGCTCTGTACATAACATTAACATTTGTCTCGATTTTAGCAAGACAGTTAACTACCTATAAGGCCATGAATGAATTAAAGGAAATAATAAAGCAGTTGAACAGGCCTCTGTTTCAAGTTAAATGCCAGAAGCACTACGAGATCGCCGAGGAAACAAATCGGAACCAGAGATTACTGTATAACATATGCCTATTCCTAGGCGTCAGTACCGATATCTTCGCAGCTCTTTTTCCGCTGTTCTCGAAAGAAAAAGTAATCCTAGCAAAAGCTTGGTTCCCATACGACTGGACCAAACCTTTCAACTATTTTATGACATATATTTTCCAGAACGCCGTATTAATTTGGCATACTTTTGTGTGCTACTCTATTGATATATTTACATTCATCTTACTCGTACAAATTGGCATACAATGCGATATACTCTGCTACACTCTGAACCATTTGGATGATTTTTACTTTAAAGATGGGATACTGCATGAAATTAGTCTGAGAGATAAATTAGAGCTAAGAAAGGATATGGAGAAATTCTCTAAAGCTATGGTTAAGAATTTAGTTGTGTGTGTACAGCATCATAGAGAGATTATAAAGTAAGAATTTTTTATTGTTTTCCGCTTAAAATGTACTGCATTCTTTTTATCTTAATGGTGTTGAGTTAAACCAAATAAACTCATTTTCTTTGAAAACAAAAGAGTAAGCTTGCAAGATATTTAAATATGTTTTTTAGAACACAAGATTCTTGTGCGACTAGCATTGATTATGTACAGTATTATAGCTAGTAACTAATAATTTATAATTAGAAAACATATCTGATATATTGACCATTAAATAATAAATTTAATTTTTTTCTGAATGTTTTGTGTTTTATATATTATTTTGTTCCAACTTTTATTAGTTCCATTTAGAATGAGATCACTCGAAAAGGCAATGCTCAAAATGCAGAAATACTTAGGGTCTATCTACAAGTGTATAGGTATATGAAGAACATTTTTAACAATGTTTTGAATTGTAAAATATGAGTTTATTGGAAATAATGTATATAGGTTTGTAATATATAAAGAGCGTTATACAAGGCAATGATACATGAGCTTATACGTCTACTGAATACTGGCTAGATTTGCATCTTGCGTGACGATCTTCGGCTTATGTTCAGACTTTGCTTGATTAGTACTGCTATCTTAGCTATTGTTCAGTGTGGTTACTTATCGTCTTAGTTCGAATTTAGATGTATTTGGAAAACTTTTTATTCCCCAAAATTCGAAATTGAGGCGGTTTTTCTGGACGTTTTGCGCAATTACTTTTGCCGAGGCTTCTCTCGCATAAGGCTCAGATGGCTTCGTAACTCAGAATCTAAAGTTGAGTGAAAATCAAAATTCATTTGAGACTTTATATTTGAAATATTATATTATAAAATTTTATGAATCATTAAGCATTCTTGAAATATCAATTTTTATTTAAATATCCATTTATCGAAAACAATGCGTTTTTCAACCTTGGTTTGTATAAACCTTTTTGCTTATATTTATTTATATAGCGAATGTCTCGTTAAATGACTTGTATTTTCTCGTGAGCCACCCTGTATATATAAAAGTGGTAATTTCTTTCTTTTAACCAACGGCGCATCCACCAAATAATTAAAATTTGTTTCAGGCTCGCCAAAGACATACAACGAATTAAAGAAATTGGTATATTTGTTCTTTTTGCAAGTGGAGCTTTGGTGTTATGTACCTGTTTGTTTCAACTGTCTATGGTAAGCATCTGCACTTAATAAATTCATTGTTTATTTTTACTTTTTCATTTTAGGTTCAGTTTGGTTCAGTAGAATCCATGATGTTGCTGTTCTTTTCAATTTGCATGCTTACTGAGCAATTCTTGTACTGCTGGTTTGGCAGTGACGTAATATACAAAGTAATTCATACTTTTCTATACATTAATTTAGCATTCTCTACAAATAATCCACAAAATAAACAATAATTCACAATAATAATTTTTTTTCTTAAACTATTTGATATTATTTATTTGTTTTGCTTTAGAAACTATTTATTATTTTTTTTTTTTTGATTCAAGATTTCCTCTTTTAGGGTTCCTTAATTTTACAGGCAGCTTACAATACGCCCTGGACAGATTGCAACAGCAAATTTCGGAAAATTCTATTGCAACTTACGACACAAGCGTGTTGTCCACTTAATATTCTAGCAGGGGGATTGTTTATAATGTCTGTGCCTGTTTTCATATCGGTTAGTAAAGGAGCTGATAAATTTATTAAATACCATGTAATTTTAACATCGATACTCAAATTTAGTGATTACAAAGAATATTACTCTCCAATATGTATTTATTTATTCATTAAACAGAGCCACAAAAAAATGGACTGGACCATATCAGTATTAAATATATTCCATTGTATAGTCCCGGGTCATTTCGTATTTTGACCATAGCATATACTTAGATACTTCTCTAGAAAGCGGTTTTCGAGATTTTAAACTGACTTGAGTAGTCAGTTATTGGAAAAACATTGGAATTCATGACCCTATTGCACCATAACCACGAAACTCTAAGGACTTCTGTAGACCCATGATCTGGAGCATACAGATTTGTATTAATGAAATCATTAATTGCAATGTTTTTCCAATTGCTGCTCCAGTCGATTTGAAATCTCGAAAATCGCTTTGATAGGAATATTCTTGATGTTAGGGTCAATCAATACACAACTGTCCAGCTCATTTTTTTTATAGGACTGTGCTATTAAATCATTTATTATATATTTTTAGGTGCTACAGACATCTTACTCATATTTAACGCTACTTCATTCAATTCAGTAGAAATAATAACCCGCTGAAAATAAACCGAATTGATAATATTACACAACACAACAAGATTTAATTTAGTTGAAAATGGCACATGTTAAAAATTACAAGTATTCTGCTTCAGCAAATGAATAAACGATACAAATGTCAGACAATTGAAACAATAAATACAAAAGCATTTATATTTGTTTCGATTTTGCATGCGAGGTCCAGCTACTAAATTCCAATGATTTCCAGTGTCAAAAGAGAAAAGCTATTTTAAGTTTTGGCTGATATGAAACAGCAGATAAAAGTATTTATAGATTTTTCAAGTCTTTCATTTAAATGAGCTCATATTAACATACATTACACGTAATTGGAAAAATAAATAGAAAAACATATTATACCTATTATTAAGTGTGATGGGGTAAATTTAGTGCGAAATAATTACCAAAGTAGACATTGATAAATGCTATAATACATACTAATCATATGGCGTTCTACGGGTGAATGAATGGGAAACCCTAAAATATCCAAAATGATTTTAAAGTATGTAAATATTGATTTTTGTATTATTGATATTACTAGAACTTCGTAAAAATCCGTTAAAAATAGGCACATATTCCTCACTAACAATGATTTTTTAGATTAACTTTTAAAACTACTGTCTCCATTAACAAATTAAAAAGTACCTAATACGAGATTTTGTTATTCTATTTTTGGATATAATTAACTAATTTCTTCCATGTGCTCCCGCTTTATTAAATCCTCGCCATAAATTTCCATACAACACAACACAGACCAGAAATAAAAAAAGTATCTCCACTGCATATTTCGCCTGCTGGAAATGGAATAGGCATAAATTAGTACCGCGCTGTTCCACCGGAAATAAGAGTTATATATCTCACTAATTCAATTAAAACCGTATTCTTAAATGGAGTTTTGTTTGCTCCTCCAAAATTTATGCTTTATTAGGGACGCGAGTAGAAACCAGCATTCAAAGTTTTGATTAATTTTTTGTTTCGTTAGGATTAAATAAAAATATATTTTGGTACAACGTCTCGCTCTCCTAATTGAAACGATGCCAATTTATCATCCATAAAGTCCTACAAACAAAAATGTTAATGATCGACTGCTCCCTTAATTTAAATTTCGTATTTTATGAATCAAACATTCTTTTTTTTTGTAATATATACAGTGAATCTATGGTATTTATGTGTATCATGACCTATTCGTTTTCAAAGCACATACCAAGAATAAAATCACTTACTCTGAGAAACAATTTGCTTCCAATTTTGCAAGATAGCTTTGTTGCAAATAATGTACATAATCAGTTTACTATAATAAAATTATTTGTATACATTTAAGTTCGAATTAATACTAATAACGAGAAAGCGTGATTCTGAAATAACTGCGTTCCTTGACGGCAACTTCGATATCAAAAATACAGCTGCCTCACCAGAGACGGCTTTAAATTCGTTTAAACTTACATGTGAAATTTTTTTTCAATTTAAAACGTAATGTTTTGGAGCATCAGTTGCTTGATAAAACTTCCCCATTTTCATATCTTTACTTCTTCAATTCTTCTAAGGTTTATAGGAAATATGTGGCCTCATCCTGCCCCATCCATTATGAAAACAGTAAAAGTAGTCGAAAAGTATTTTTTTATTCTGTTCCACAGTATATTTCAGGATTGTACATCATTATCCACAATTTACAATTCTAAAACTAATTTAATAATTCAACCTAACACGAATTAGTAATTCAAAATGTCATTGATTAAAAATAATTTGAAATCCGTGCCCTGCTCCTTGACCCCCTGAATAGGTACCCACCCCGTAGCCTCCATAGTGTCTTGGATAGAAGTAAAGGTTTTCCGGAGGTTTCACCAATACTGTTTGGAGATCCCTAGTTATCAATATGGGCACGTAAATATGATGGATATGAGCTGGTATGAAGGAATGGTGGCGGACTTGACCTAAAACAATGTTACAAACGATAAATCTTCAAAAGTTATTTGAATTCATCAAACAATGACTGATCAGAACATCACATCTCTTTAATTAATGAAGCCCTATTTATATTAAACAGTATCATCAGATTTTCAAGACAGAAGGCAAGGCTAATAGCAATAAGAACAGATGTTTTACATCTCTGTATGAGAAAAGTTTATCATCATCAATTGTTCCCAACAAAACTACACAAAAAATTGATAGCGAATCAATTTATTAGGGATTAAATCTCAGGTAGAGAAGACAAAGCAGTACAGTACAGCTCTAACAAAATTTTGGTAGTACTTTATTGGAAGAATAAACGTTTACAATTCTGGTAGCCTAACAAAGAGTACACCAAAAGAGCACCAAAGTGCAAATGAAAATTCCTTTGCGTGGCTTAATCAAAAAATTTCAAAAATACTGTCTCTAATATTAAGATGGGAAGGTTGAAGAGAGGACTGATAACTCAGGCTGAAAGTACCAATATTTAACAATGTTAGGTAAACTTTCAGGATGGTAGGAAATATATGCATCTCTAAATTAACAACTTAAATTATTAAGTAAAAGTGCTACCTGTTTTATCGAGCACTCCGTGGTGCGGGGAAACGACCATAACCGCAACAATTTGTTGAAAATAAAGGTCACAGTATTTGAGACGTGATCGCTATTAATAGGTGTTTAATTTATTAATGTTCTTGTGTAACAAAAAACGTAGGTGATTGACAACCACAAATTAACATAAATTTCGCATTTACGACCAGAGTGATTGATTGTTGAGTTATTTTGTGGCTGCTGTTACGGATCGTAAAACATGTGCACTGCTATGTACGTGGGAGAATAAATAGAAGTTGATGTTTTTGCATTAAAAAATATTTAAAAAATTAGGGCCTCATTTCATTTCTAGTCAATATTGCACTTTAATATTTTTTTAATTAAAGTAGGTACATATGAACCGTGGAGATCTCCAGAATATAACTTTGTTGCAACAGACTTAAATCCATTATATTTACCATTCTCTTATGCTTCAAAGTGACACAATTTATTTATTTCCATTCATTCTAATACCATAAACTTACTCTACCTGGCACCCATTCCTGTGTGTGACGCACTTTATTAACGCCGGAAGATATAGGATTATCCCCATCTTTATCAATATCTTCCTCTTCAGTTATTTTGCTCACAATGGGGACATGTTTGTGTTTTACAATTTCATTGGGAAAGGTGGCGTAGCCGAGTTCCAAAGGAGACCTTTTTACGGTAAGGCAGTGAGCTTGTAACACAACTTTACAAGAGAAAAATAGTAATAGCGATTTCTGAAACAAAAGTAGTGATAAATGTTTACTAAAAACAATAAAATTCAATTAATAATACATATCCGCCCCTTCACATAATTTGACTGATATTATGGTCCATATGGTTGAAGAACTAAAGATTTTTAGCTTAGGAGTAATATCCGTGTGGCAAGAATGACTGCACTTAGAGCTAAAGCATATCTAATTATCATAGAAAGGGTGTAAAGAAAAATGACCAACAAATTTTAAGGACATTGAGCTTACAAAAATAATGGGAATATCTCCCAAAGAACTTTATCGAAAATCTTGAAAGTTAATATGCTACGTTTTTCGTAATGTATTATGTTTTTGTGATATTTGATTTTTTATAGAAAAAAATACAAGAATATATATATTTTTCTTCCAAATATAACAAACAATCTTAAAACTTTGTCAGTTTCATCTTCCCCCCATTATTTTTGAGAGTTCTACATATTTACCCACAAAGTTTGGTGGTTCCTTTTGGTTACACCTTGTATAATACGAGTGGAATCCTGATTATTGGCAGGTCGACAAAATATGACTTCTTCAGAAACCGGATACTTTCCCGAAGGTTTTGGATGCACTGATTACAGACATGCTAACCTAAAGTTAACAAAAAACACGTTTTTTCGCTATATTTGAAGTTATATTACACCAAGAAGTAATTTTTTTAACTCATCATGGTATCTGAAAATGCCACACTTCTTCATAATCAATTTTGATTCGTTCCAAATATCGTCTATCTTCTCCGAAAAATCGTCTATTGAAAGTGGTTAGGAGTATTCGTCAATATTTGAAAATTAAGTTAAATTCCACTGTGCTTCAGGTTTCTGAAATTTTATTTAATCCATCCGCCATTTTGTAATGCTGTCTTCAAATTCATACTAAGCAACCCCGAAAATCTGAAAAACCATTGGAAATATGGGTGTTTGTAATTTCATTCATCTCTTTTTGATCGATTCAAAGTGGATTTTGAAGCAGAAGAGCAGTGTTTTCAGAGATGCCTAACGCATTTTGTGGAGAAAAGTTACCTCAAGGTGTAACATAACCCCAAATCGAGAAGAACGTCTTTTTTGCACTTAGGATATCTCAAAAGCTCAACTCAACTTCGGGTATAGAGCGTAAGAAACTTTCACAAAGTATGGCCCGGTTTCTGGTTTAATATTTTATAGGTCGGTGTAATCGGAGAAGTTGTCGAAATATGTCAATAATTATCTATTTACAACATGTTGAATGCATCGTATTATGCGATTATACAAAGTCATAATTCCAAGAGTTATATTCACTAGATTGTATCACAAACATTTTTAATATTTAACAACCTAATAATTCACAATGACAGTAAAAATTCGATGACATGAAAATATGTCTACTTAGATGTTTATAGAAGTGAATGGAGCAGAAACAAAATTAAATAAGGACTAAACGTAGTAATAATAAAAATTATAGGCAATTACTTTACTATGAGTGATACAATCATTACTGGCATTCCAGAAACCATCAGAGATACAGAGAAGCGTGTAAAATTTGATAACATTTCGCTTAGAAAATTTCTGTTTATTCGGATTTTATATAAAAATTTTACTGAAATAACTCTGCCACCCCATATTCTTATGGACATGTCAGCAACACTCAACCGAGTCATTGTTACAAATTTTCCCCTTTTTTGCTTTTGAAAATTATATATTAATTTGCCGCCTCTACACACAAATTCACCCCCTACCCTACAAATACGTTGGAAAAATAGTTTTCACGCTAAATTCACTTAAACGTCAATAGTTTTTAAAAAATAACCAAAATGTAGATGTTCACTATTTTTCTTTATCCCTTATGTAATCGTTCTCTTCAACGCAGAAAGGTCCAACCTACACAACAATACCAAAATCACTCCGATCGGACCAACCCTGCGCTCAGCGGTCGCGACCGAACATTTATTACTTTGAATGTTCATACTCTCCTATACTGATATTTTCATAACATCTAGCGTTACTTTCAATGATAGTAATAATAATAAAATTTTTTGTTCAGCATTTAGGTCTAGTTGCTTTTTAAGTAATAATTAATTGTCCTTCAAAGTACAATCTTCAAGTATCAAATTTTTAAACATGCCTATTTCTGTTCCCATTATAAAATTCCTGATTTTCCTACAATATTTCGAAAAATATGAAGTTATAACATTTGATTTATTTTACATTGAAATATGGACCATCCTATGAATCCCTAACAGAGTAGGAACAACTGACAAAAGTAATCTTGGAAACAGAACAATATTTTTTGAGAAAACTAAAGATTTAATTTAAAGGAAACTACTTATTTTCTACCATTACAGAAAAGCATTTCCCTCATAAATTTTTCCCTCCGCCACTGTAAGAAGCAAGCCGCCCGAAATAAGCACCTAAACCCAAAGACCTACATGCCCATACAGTGTGAGAAAATACAAACAATATCTTGCGTGAGCATGTTCTTTTACGCACAGTTATTGGGAGGATAACCATGGGAAGCAAGCGTGTGATTAAATCGGTAGCAATTAAAGAAAATAATAGGCCTTATTATATAAGTGTGGCTGTGTACCTGCAGAAAGGAGACCCACATATTACGACTGGATCCAAAGTTGCTTTGACACCACGTAGCCAACTTCTCGTATCGCACACAGACTTATTATAAATATTCAGATAAATCTATAAATGGATTATTAACCTGAATGTTGATCGGCGTTGCACAACTCGTTACAGAGCGAATACGAACCACGGCAACATTCTACTTTTTCACGAGCTAATCCAAATCGGAATATGCGTTTACTCAGTAAGAAAATGCTCTGGTGAATAATTACATTCATTAAAAGCGTACCCACTCGTATATTTATACTTCGAACAGGCATGGGATATCTAAATTACATTTACATGGAAATATAGAAGAGGAAAAACATTTTACTTTTGTATATAAGTACTTTTTATAGGTATATGTATAAATATTCATATTTTTTACAATTACGTTTCTCAGTATAAGATTAAACATACATATTTGCAAATACATTTAAATCAGTAGTAAATGTTGAAACATATCATAAATACCTTTAATACATTCTTCCGTTGAATATTTTTTTTTGATAAAAATTATTCAAGGTCAAACGCAATGACATTGAGCAGACTTTTCTTATTGAAAATTATTCATTACAACTACGCTTCAATAAGTAAAATCATTCAGGTATGTAATACTCTACTCGTCCACAATTACGAAAACACGAAACAAAAAATCAAAAAACAAATTTTAATAGATTGGAACACGTTTTGTATCAATAATATCAACCTGATTATATTCAGTTACTTTTACTATCGTACCTGTTCTTAAATACTTTCTAAAACGTATGTATTAATTTCATAAAATAATCAAAGTTTTTCTTACTATTTCTAAATCTATTGTTATTTATTTATCAATGTATGCTTTTCCTGGCTTATTTGAATTCGAACTCTACGCGCCTCGAGGCGTAGCAGTGCCACCAACACAAGTTCTAGTTTATCCACAAATCCCTACTGCAATTCCAGTCCAGCACAGCTGATCGCCGAAGGTGAAATTAAAGTTAACCTAACTTTAAATGTGTAATTAAACTTTTTTTAGTGTTGTTTTATATTAAAATTTAACTAAGGTAAAAAGAAAATCTTTCTATTTTCAGCTAATACTGAAGTTGTTTTATTATTCTCTTTCAGTTATGAATTTTATAAGCCGAATAGTGAGGAGGATACCTCAGGCGCCAACTTTGGTATCTAATATCGTTAAAAACAAACCCCTTCTGGATCTTAGCTCCTTCTTAAGCAACAGATTATCATGTCTCACAATACAAGGTAATTTATTTCCCATTTTTGTATGTATGAATAGTTAAATTGGGCTGTGACGAGGTGCACTCGTCAGTAGATTTATTTCTTGTTGCTCTTTTTTTAAATATCCAAAATTGACAAATTAAATTTTATAAATTTTATGTATTGTCAATGAATATTAATTGTCTTTGAGAAAAATAAGCTATATATGTAACATGCCTATCCCTATATGAGTAACTCTGTATATAAAATAAAAAATGTTACTGCTGCTGAGAAAGATATTTGTTAGATACAAAAAGATACAATTTCATAAAAAAAGAAAAGATAAGTAATACTTCGTAAAATAAAAATCAATATCTAAAGAGGCATTATTTTAACATTAGCAAACTAAAAGCAATCGTACTTAATTCCTTGTAAAATTAGGTAAAAATTAACAGTGAATTTCATATTTTATATGTTATCGCATAGAATATGAATCGATTAACATTTAAATATTGCTTGGCTCTATTATTAAATTCTATTTAGTAGTGTTTATTATGTACATATTGATCAAATTATGGCACCCTTAGTACACTTAGTTTCATTCAATACAGGGTTGTATACCTGGTTGCATATGAATAATGAAATTTATTTCATTTAATATTAGAATTGAATTTCGAATTGCCTGTATTATGTCCTCGTAGTTATTTTATAGGATTTCCTACCAAAAATCATCACCCTGACAACTTTTTATTTTCCCATAAAAGTTGTATGATGGTTTGAAGGTTTCAACAATTCGTTTTAGAAAAACATTTGCAATTTTTAAAAATATAAATATATGATGTTTGCTTCAATATTTTTTTGTTAAATGAAACTTAATGTATACCGATATTGTAGATATATTCCAATCTTCTTCTCAATTGAACTCTTTCATATTACTTCTACATATTAAATAGTAATGAAAGGAAATGGAGATCACTTGAATTAAATATTTCTGGACAATGTTCTACCTACAAGGTGTTGCAAACTCGTTTATAATCTTTTAGTTTTTGTTCAATGTAATTTTTTTTCAAATGATAAAGTTAATTAGGTATTGTGAGAACTTGACTTACCACCTTCAAACGATGACCACTTAAGAAAAAATTATGGTATGCACACTACAATGAAACAACTTGTATGTTATCAGTCTGTTTTTAATGCAATTTAATTTAAATTTGATAATAATAACATGACAAAGATAGAGTTGTACATAGAATGGAATATTTATATTATGCTGTAATTAATTAACGACATATTGTTAAAATCAGAAAAACTTACAAATATCAAAATTATTAAAAAATGCATAGTGCCTATTCTATTAAGAAAAAAAAACATAATTTGCCTCATATATGTGACGTTCAATTGTTTTTTTCTAAAGAACAAATTTTTGGAAAAAAAACAATATTTTCCTATACATTAATGGTAATTAATGGTAAAAAAGTTGTTGGTTTTTGCTTTAACTTAAACATGGTTTCTTAGCTAGTAACGTAACCCCCGTATTTTGAAACACTTAGTATATTGCTAACAGAAATTTCCGTTATAATATTATGCATGAAATAGACAGTCTTCAAAATGATTACAAGCCACGTGACCACTGAGCTTAGGCAACCAACATTGCACGGCCGGTACTGTCAATTAAAAATCCCTAGATATTAGCGTCACCAATATTAATGATTCTTTTACATTGAAGAATGTAAAACCATTATGTCTACGCTACAAATAATGCCATCGATGATTAATAGAATAAAATATTTTGTGTGGCGACATCTATAGGAATATCGTGGTACTACGAAAGACGAGACAGGATTTCAATTTATAATCTTAACTTATAAAGGTAATATTTGTATGTAACATCACTAAACAATTAGAGTATTTTAAGTTTTCATTCCTAAACGTCTTCATTACTAATTTTTTAAATATAATTTAAGGTAATTCTTCATCTGGAAAGTTTGAAAATGGCTCTAATATTTATATAAAACGTCGAAATCAATTTGATATTGATACGATATTTTTAATACTGATCGAAAATTATTTTTAACTGAATTCATTCAAGTGTTACATATAAAATGGCGTTAAATGTGTTAAATTTCTAAGTTAACTACATACCCGTACCGAATATATTTTTCTTCTCAAATGGTCAGTAAGCCGCAGACCAGGACTGATAATAACCGAACCAACGGCATAATAGAAAATTATGAATGGGGGGATTAAAAATCTCAATTTAGGAAAATCGTCAGGCTGCGTAAATACGATGAGACAGCACTTTTAAAGAATTGTGACAGTTCAATACAATACAGTCAAATGCAATAACTAAATCTGTAAGATTACGATCTGGCCACACCACAGTCCCATTGTCGAATTGTCATTCCGACTGGACATTGATCAGGGCCGTACTAGAAATATTGGGAGGGATATAATGTAGGATAAATTGTAAATGATTAAAAACACATACCTACTAGCTATGTTAACATAGTGCCTACCTAATTATTTCCCTAGAAACAGATACAACCATATCGTAACCTATAGACTTTACAGGAACAGTATTAATTACTTCTGGACTTACCCTACTCCATTTTTATTGTTCATTAAAAACCTAAAATGATGTTTTTGCAAATCTTTCGGATATCATAGAAGTAGAGATAGTGTCACTTCATTTGTGACATGTATACTAAATGTTGGTCTCCAACTTAAGCCCTACAGTCCTCATCAACAAAATATTCCGGCGCCTCCATTAAATGTCGCATCTTATATGATGTGCTCTAATTGTGGCCTTTTTTAATACATTGACAACATTCATTGGGAGTTCACTGGCTTGGTTGGACTTTATACAAGGGGCATATATACTAAACAATATTAAAATAAAGATACGTCTTATCTACAAAGGACAACTGTTAGGCTAAAACTCCTTTCTAGAGAGGACACTTTGTATTCTCGGCTTGGATCTTGACTGTCGACTTCTTCACTTGCACCTGTTTCTCTCGACACCTTCTATTTTTGCATATACAGGGTGTTTCAAAAGATATGTCGGAAAATTGAGGGTTTGATTCTTTGGCTTATTCTAAGATAAAAGTTTTTATTAAGATAGGTCCGCAAACGCACTATTTTCGAGATATAGGGTGTCAAATAAAAGATTGTTTTTTAGTTTTTTGACGATACCTATCTCGGGAACTCAGACGTAGATGAGAAGCCCATTACCGTAGGAGGAGACCATTTTCAACAACTGTTGTGATTTTTGTTGTTTATTCGCTTAGTTTTGAAATACATTTTTTATATCATGTTGCCACTTTCATGTTTTCCATCATAAACGTAATTTATATTGAAAACGATTCGTGTTAGAGCTTTTGATGGTGTGTACCTTTTTGTGTAGAATACATCAGCGGTTTAAAATATGCTTTCAAAATACCAATTTTCCCAGAGCTGTAAAAATTAGGAGCAAAAGAACCTCATGTAATCCTAAAATCTCCGCCAGTGTCACATGAATAAAAATTGAATTAGCGCTCAAATGTAGTTAATATTAATCATAATAAGGAAATCACACCTTTCATTTTCCGACACATGTTTTGAAACACCCTGTAATACTTAATTATCAAAACGGGAAAGAAGATGGTGGGAATTATTCAAACGTGTATAGTCATCAAGGTCGAGAAAGAAGCAGACCCGATTGAATGTTTATTTTGCAAATAATGCAAGCTCGCAATGAATTAAACAAGTTTAATCGATGCTTTGAAATTGTTGTGCATTTGTAATCGAGAAAAATTAGTTGTGAAAATAACACATGCTTCTGTCTCTGAGATAAATCATAATTGTGACAATGCTTTTTACAAAAAAAAAAGTTATTTTACGATTTATCTGCACCGCATTTCAAAACAAATCTCCCGATACGGCCCTGTGCCGATTCCTCCCACGCCGCACACTTCACCCTTTGGGGACCCGGGGCAGGTGACGCATCTTCGACGTGGACATTGTCCATCGACAGATGAATGCGCGCACCACAATGCAGCGTTCGCATTCACGCCGTATTACACCAGGAAATGGAAAATACGGGGTTGGATTACTCCCTGGACGCGGGGGGCCACACGCATTTTTGCGTAGGGCCGCGCCACCGTGGCCGCAGAATACGGCCGTGGAAGCGAGAGGATCCGAAAGGGGTTTACGCCAGTGCTTTGTCGCAAGTGGACTCCGTAAGCCTTGCGAATTTGTTACGGCCGGGCTTGGATTCCTGTGGGAATTTCTCATAACTGATTTACTTACATTATTAACATGGCCTGTCTCACTAGTACGCCGAAGTGCAATGCCTGCCAGGTGCCAACTTTAACTTTTTTTTCAATATAACCATATGGTTTTATGTTCATTATAATTTTTTTTTTGAGAAAAATAAAGGATACCATGTATAATAGTCATATGCTAAAGATCATATTTTTTGAGATATTTAGCTTTCAACCATTTTTTTTTGCCTAAATTGCCACTTAGACTTCGAAATTATCTCGGTTATACGAGCAGTTACCGAAATCTTTTTTTAGGCAAAGACTCTTCAGACTCTTCCAAAAGTAGGCCAGCGTTCTATAGGGCCGCAAGCAAGTGATGTTAAAGATGTCAACAAGAAAAATGAAAAATTTCGTAAAATTCAAATGCAACACCCTATATATTTTTATATCAAGGGATCGACAATTAAATTCTCCACACTGTTATAGTTTGCTCTATAGTTTATATAAAATATGGGGTTTATGAAATATTCCAATTTTTTTTTAATTCGTAGTCGGTGCCTATCAATTATGAGCATTTTAGTCCTCAGCAGTTATAGTTAAGTAAAGTGGACTATTCTAAGAAAAATGTCATAGTTGAAGTTCATAGCAACTATTTATTTTGCATCTCTAGAATGACCCTAATCATATTCTAGTGATGTAACGAATGCCAGTTTTTAAGCATGAGAACATCTGTCGTTGACATTCGCGAATGCGAATGCGAATACGAATATTCAGTTTTTAAATCTAGCGCCGTTTATCTATGAT